CTGATCTTTTTCGGGTGATTTCGACGGATCGCTCTGTGTTCCAAGTTGAGAGATGATTCCTCCAGGGTGTCATCTGAGGATGCGTTCTAAAAACGGTAGGAATTGTAATCTGTTTTACGGTGATCCACTTGCGCAACAAATTACGTACCTGAGTCACATCGACCGTTGTCAATTTTATTGTTATGCTGAGACCACAAAAAATAACGTGGTTCTTTAATGACGATTTCTGTGATTTCTAATGACACTGACCGACTGTGCTCCATGCTCATTACCTCCTGAAGCCTACGTGTTTTTGACATACCTAGATATGTTCTTGAGTTGACCCAAAAAGTAATTATATCGCTTGATGTTGTATACTGCGATAGACCTGTTTTGAAATCCCTTAACCTGGGACCCAGTCATGTCGGGTCAAAAATTATGGCGAGTTCCTGGCGCGAAATGCTACGCAGGTTCCGACATGTGCTGAGTGATTTCCACATTTAAAATATTAGGGGAAGTTCGTTTTGAATTGAAATAGATAGATACCGCTGTGTGCCCATTGGTTGCAGTCAGGCTATAACTGACTGTAATAGGGTAAATGATGCAAACTCATGTCTACTCGGGTAGCTCAAACTGGCCCATTTTTTGGATAAACTAAAGAATGGCAGCCACATGTTTCGCAGTTTTTTTTAGCTGAATGAATTACGGCATGTTTCCATAGTGCTTCCTCTTCAGGACTCCTTAATTGTCAACCACCTCAGTTTTTCTTCCATAACAACTTGAAAGATTCGCTTTCAAAGTTCACTTTTGCAAGTACGATGCGAAAGGTTTGCGATCGAGTGCACGGAAAAATCAAACTAAGTATATTTGTGAAAATCCAAAAAATGGCAAACTGCGGAATTTTACTTGAAAATGTCCCAGTTTATAGTTGAAACAATGTGCGAATTCCGGTTGATTCGACAACATCACACGGACTGGGCTGTTTCGCTTTATTACACAGATGTTAACTACGTGTTGAATATTTGGTTCATTTATTCTAGACTCAGAAGCCCACCATTACCTGCGTTCCAAAAACATTTTCGGGAACTATGGATAATGCACACTCCATTCGGCATACTCTGTCTTCGAAGCACTACCATTCCACCAAGCAGATGTGAAGTGATTTCATTTAAAGTATTTCATTTGTCGCGGAATAGAGGACTCCCCGAGTTGTATGCTCATATCAACTGTTTATATGATTGAAAGAATACTAAGCGAAATACACTTATTTGCATAGCGATTTGACGGGAAACGCAACTGGAACTCAGCTGAATCTCTTGATTATGGTGTTCTTGATTAGAATTCAGTTTTCTTCTTTCTTTTCCATAAACCCACAACAGTTCTCAAGGCTTCATGAAAGCAATAGCACACGATTATAGAGTTCGAATGACAGGTTAAGGCTATGTTATCACTTACTTTTCCCTGGTTGATGCGTTTCCAATCCTGACTAAGAACTCTTGGAACAGCATCATCCTTCTTGGATCCTGTCGGGGGCATTATCATCTAAATAGTCCACCCGTCTTCCCATCACTTTTTTATTCGTGGTACGTGTTTGGATTTCGGATGCCTGCGTCCGTCAAATCCCTTTAACGTTTTACGGCACCTCTCACGTGCTATTCGTAGACTGGTACACTGATGTCTTTTCTATAAAACTGCACTAGAGGTCCGCTGAACATAGGGGTTAACCTCTTGAATGATGCAGTAAACTTCTCAGTCTCCGGTCGCCTATAGGATCATCGTGCCATAACTTCGTACATACAGCCCACTTTATCGCCCCGAAAAGGTATTTCATTATTTTTATTGTGAATTGGTGTGTGAAGCTACCGCGTTTATTCATTTTCTATGATAACACACTCCTCTTCACTCGGGTATTGTGTGTCGTTTTTACTGTGTGTGAACCGATGGAAACACATTTGGATTTTTCGGTGTACGTAACCTATAGTTGCTGATAAGAGGAATTAATTATATATGTGGTTCTACATCCAATTCGGGTGAAACAAAACGTGAACTGATTTGATCATGACGTTATCAGGTAGCGAAATAAAGCTAACTTCGTGAAGCATACCTTCTTCACAAATATATCAGTTTATTATAGAGATTAAAATTCCACACTGACGAACAGTTTTAAATCATTGTTTTTCTACCTATTCTTTGTTTTTGAGTGGGTCATTTAACAGCAAATAACTAACGAATTGAAAATTTCCACGAAAAAGTATCCGGGTGGTTTCACTTTGAAAAAAGTTGCATGTTGGCTGAAGGTAGTTCCAAGAAATTGTTGAATCACCGGGTGAAATGCATTCAGCTCCATTTGCACGTTTGTTTTCTCATGAATCAGGTGCACCACTCCCCCTCTTCTAGCCAGTTTCCTCAAAAATGGTCTATTTTCTAAAGTGCTTGCTTGGTTGTTCATTGCCGTTGGGTCGATGTTTCTGGATCTTCAGAACGACAGCCTACTACGTACACCTTTATAATATCACCTTTAGGTGCCTTTTTTTTATCATACTTGGCGCAAACTGTTTGTTGTTCTTCGTGTCGTAAGACAATTTTTAATCGCCATACTGCTCCATAACTTCTTCTAAGGTCATGTTGCAGAAAAGCACCGAAGTCGCCCTAGGACGGTATGCTGCACTATTAGTCAACATCAATGTTGGTTATCACATATCTCCTGACCAGCTCAACGAACGTATTTGGGCGCATGGCTCAGTGATAAGTACGCAAATTTACTGACCGAAAAGTCCGCAGTTCGAACCCGATCTCAGCCTCTCGACTTCTCCTACCTAGTCTTGGGCAACCTCGTAGTACCCAAGCCCTTCGAAAAGTCCCAGTTCGAACCCGATCTCAGCCTCTCGACTTCTCCTACCTAGTCTTGGGCAACCTCGTAGTACCCAAGCCCTTATGCATCCTCTGTTGACATGGAACCAAAATAATGCTACAGCTGAATGATTTTTTGTGTATTTCTGAGTTCTCCTTCAAGCCACAGTCACTCGAACAGCACCAGGATCAAATTAGCGAGAACCTGTACATCAGCCCGTTTTGTACTCGTGCTCGTCTTCAGTGTGTATGATCCTTGGGCGTAGTGGAGTTTAAACTCGCCATCAGACTTGTGACACACATAATCAACTCACATACGACGGGCCCACCAGAATTTACGGCAAACAAGGTTACTGTTGAATTGTATGTAGAAGCCAAACTCCTCAAACTTGAGGGTTGTTGAACCGACCATCCTTGTCGCAGTAGAAGCGCACTATTTCCTTGGATTTGAGATAATTATATAAGGACGGGATTTAGAGAGCGACTCAGCTCTTTACGATTTGGAAGAAGTTAGTTGACAGGTACATTTTTCTTCATGTGGAGACATCCTTCAGCTGGAATGGGTCGTTTAGCTTCCTTACGAGTTCTCATGTTGGCAGTACTAGTACTCCATGAAAAATATGCTGCTTATGTTGGCTACTTATTGGACTTGCTTTCATGAGTATAAGGGCTTTTCTTCGTTAAAACCCCAAAGTTACAGGGCTCATAGGCTCTTCTTGTCGCTCAATCAAGTCATTCGTTGTACGCAGCTTATACTGGCTGTAAAAAACCCAAACCTAAAGTATGAGGACAACCGTTCAATAGAAGGAAACACATTACAAATAACAGGAATGTCCACATAGCCGACCAGTCTCTGAAAAGGCCGCACTCTTCGTCAACTTGGCCATCGCGTCTTGAAGCCGTTTGCGTCGGATGATTGCAAGTGTGGTTGGCGTGGAAAAACGCAATTGGATGAGCCTACTTCCAATGACCAATCACAGATGATCTGAGATGATGACGTCGTAGTAGATATGCACTACATTCTTTCAACTAACTGGCAACATGCAACGCGTTCATACGTCCTTCATTAATAATGACCGGAACTGACAAACTGCTTGTGGCTAAGTATTTGGCTTGCAACCACAATCAAACAGACACATATAACACGGATAATATGGTAAACAATGACATCAAAGTGATTTGGTCTACCGACGACCAATATGAGATGTTCCAATGCTGCTTGTCATTCTACATTCCTGGGTTTAGTTACCGTTGCTTTTAGAAGAAATTACCCCATCGTTATTTCTTTCTGTTCCTTGGGCTGGAGGTCCCGCGTCATGTATTGCACGTTTGATTTGGGTGCAAGATAATCTGTAAAACTTCGTTATAATATGGAGGTAGCAGTTTATCAACAATTAAGATTGGATATTACTTAACAGACAGAATTGGCTTGAGCAAAGCCTCGAAAAATAAGCAGAGTGACTTTTTCCACCAAATTTTGTTTAATCATACATTCAAGAGATATACCACTAAAAGGCTCAGGCCATGATTTATGGCAGGGAATCCTAGCTGGCGTTTTACATTTCTCCGGATGAAATGAGGACTATTGTCCCTTTCTGGTCCCCAGTCGACAAACCTCCGAGACTAATTTATCTCCATAAGCGGTCTGACAAATTAAACAGTACGAACGGTCACCCTTAATTACTACCCTCTTTTGCTCAATTTGTCTGACATTGGCCAACCGGATGTTGACATTCAACAGCCTTTCAACTAGAGCTACAATAATGAGGTGTCTATATCTAACGGATATCACTACCCTCTGGATCGAAGGCGTGGTTTACGAACCTAAAATTCCAACTTATGTGGACTGAATTCGGATTCGAACTTCCAAAGTTTCCGCTTGTATAAAAAATGGATCACCAAAACAGCTATAGTGTGCATTACTAAGTACTATGGTAGAGCCTTGCCTTTTCGCTGTCGTCATTAAACATCAAGGCCTGGGGTTCCTCCTTGCGCTGTAATGTTGCATCCGTCATGGCATGTATCATCCCTGAGGTGTACAGGGTATATTTTTCGGTTCGATCTTAGAAAAGCATTGATTGTCAGTTTTCGTCACTTCTTTTTGCTATCTTGTTAGTTTATAATTTTACTCTCATGTTCTTCCTCCACTCAATTGTGTGTCGGGAACACAGAAGCTCGGAAGCACACTATACCGCCTTGCGTACAACGCAAAATCTCTGCATGATTTAGACCCGGAATATTTGACCAATCTTTCATCAAAGATGACGGATCAACAAATTCAGCGGGAGCTGGATTCCCAATCGGAGTAAGTGCCCCTGGATTCCACCTACATATCTACTGGGAGGTCCTGCGTGCTCAAAAACTCTTTGATTATTTTAATCACGCATTATTTTGCAGCCTGGAGCGACACCAAATGGCGAAACAACTGCTTGATACATTCATTTCAACTGTTCACACACCCACTCAGTCTACTGAAACGAATATTTCGATGCATCTGCCGGAACCTCGTGCTCCTGAGCCTATCAAATCCGTATCCAATATAACGCCTTCAACCTCACCAACGAAAAAAATCAACATGGCCACATCAGTACTTCACATCATTGCTTCCATCGTGCGCAAATCCCCCCATACTCGACAGATGATTGATTCGGGACAGGCGAACAGAGAGGGCTTCAAGTTTCTGGTGAGTGTGTCGGTATGATCATAAAATTTTTTTGTTATCGAAAACTAGCAGAATAGATGAAGTGAGGGTTCCAACATTTCTGGGCACTTTATCAAATAACCCTCATCATCAGAAATCTGGTGCAAGTGTTTTCTTGTGATGGATGGCTTCCTATAATCGAATTCGATCTTTTCCGTCGAGAGGATGAAAACATGCTTCGTGACGAAGAATGGGGTTCTGGAGACAGTTCCTTAGCAGTGAGGCGAGAGAACGTCAAGATTAGTTGGGTAAATTGAGTCGAGAGAAATTTGCACAAGCTCGTATAGAACATAACCCTACTGAAGTGTACCATTCATTAATAAATTTTCGACAAGCTAGTCGTTGGCTTGTTCACTGAGCTGGGCGATTCGATTGCAGACTCCTCATCTCAAATCAAGGTGACATCATCTGTGCATTATTCGGGAACCTAGTAATGCGTAGCGATGAGTTGTTGGTTGTATCCAGCTCAGCTAACAAGCCAACGACCATCTACGCTAACATAGCTACTAACATATTCTTCAATGAACAAGCTGTTCGTCGTCACGTTTACACCAGGTGATTTTGACTGATTCAGAGGAATCAACACTAGGGTTGCTGCTTGAACTATGGTTAGGCAATAATATAGACTTGTGTCACGTTGAAAATAAAGGGAGAACAGCTGAAGAAGCTACCTTATGAACGGCATATTGCTCTGTGTCTACCACAAGTGCGAAAACCGTAGAATCGTGTAGCTGCTCCTCTTGCACACCATTTATCGGTGCTTCACTAGATTCTAGACATCTTTCCTCAGAACCACTCAGAAGCGTTACAACAGCGTCGTTAATATCAGGTACACATAGCACTCAATCCCACAGTGATACCAAGGGGGCCCGCTGGCTCAGTAATTAGTGCGCAAATTTACTGACCTAGAGGTCCGCGGTTTGAACCCGATCTCTGCATCTCGACTTCCCCTGCTTAAGCTTGGGCAGCGTGGCAGTATCCCGGCCCTCTTGCTTCCTTCAGCACCGAAAGGGTGTTACAGCCGACCGATTATTTTTTATCCCTCACAGTGGTACACATTTAAATACAAATGGCTTGAGTGAACCTTCGTTAACTGTTTTCATTATTTTGAACGAAAAAACACGTCCACCAATGACGGACATTGTCACTTGCACCCCATGTCTCTGGCAGCGAGTTGTCCGTGTTCACCAGTACAACCCCGCCACCCTGTAGAAACAAACTGGATTTAAAACAAAACTTTGCGCTTTATTTGTTTAACCAGACGGTTTTTGTCCTGGTTTCGGTTTGTGTTTTGTGTCCCAGGGAGGGAAAACAAGTTAAGTAACGCATGTTTGTCGGAAACGTGGGGAGTGCGTTGTCCAATGTCAGTGATTATGTGCACAATGAATAAATAGTTGCATATATTCCCTCGAAAGCCACTTCGGGGTTACGCATTAAATAATACTGCTATGCTGCATTCGCATATCTATGTGGGTTTGACGAGGGACTCATTGGAACCCAGCTGAATTTCTCGTTTAGTACGGTTTCTTGGGTGGCTCACAGACTGAAACGAATGTATGACTTATTAATTCAGTAAAGAGTAGCTGTGTCCCCCCATTGATCCATGGCCGAAGATAAATATGGCATAAAAAATCTTCACCCCAAACTCAATACCGAAATGTTATTTTCGCCTGAGCAACTGCGTAGTTAATTCTCAGTTCCAAATAGATAGGATACTGGTTCATTTGTCTACAGAAAGAATACATGATTCTTATCATTTGGAAGGGGTTTGAAGTCGATTGAAGATTTATCATTTTAGAAGGGTTTGGTAAACAATGGGCGGAAACAAAGTACACTTCCTCATCATACTTCAACTATATTCACAATGAGATCATATGTACATGCACAAACATACGTGCAATATTTCTGGATCAGGATTTCCCTCTGTGGCAAAGTTCACTATATTCGGGGTTTTCAGTGTGCTTAATGTACTGTTATTGTCACAGTGGATATTATCCCCTGAACAAGACAACTGAGAGACAAGTAATCTTATGGAGAAAGCGCATCTATACACATCGTAAGACAGAACACTGCTCATACCCGAAAAACGCATAAATGTTGTCAAACGCTGTAATACGAGTGTAGTGCTAATCTTTTCATTTGCATTCGGAATGTTCTCAAAGATCAGGGTCATCATCAGCCCTTCGACAAGTGAAGTGATGGATTAGGTTCATTCCTCTTCTGCTTTAGAGTGCTATGATCGCCAGCTTATCGCCTAATTCATTTGCATATGTTCTCAAAGATGAGGGTCATCATCAGCCCTTCGACAAGTGAAGTGGTGGATTAGGTTCATTCCTCTTCTTCTGCTTTAGAGTGCTATGATCGCCAGCTTATCGCCTAATGTTCTGAGCCTTCAAACAGGGTCTTAAGTTGTCTATTCTGGTGCATTTTGGCAACGAGTAGCATGCATTTAACGGCGCTTGAATGATGGCGACAAGAAAACTCACTCCAACAACTGGATGACTTGAGCCCAGATGGGCTGAATGAACCACATAAATAATTTCTCTCACTGAGCTGTACTACCCCTCGATGCATGGTTGACGCACAGATTGCTAGATATAAGATGCCTTTAGACTTGAGTGTTCAGTGACTGCTGTTTCTTTGTATCACAGTCCTGAAAGCGCATAGTAATACGTCCGGTCACAGTTCTCCACAACGGTATGAAGAATCCTAGGTAATAAAGCCTTTCCTGTCGGTGGTCTCCGGCTTGGATAATATCATTAGGGCTAGGGGCTGTAAAATTATTTTTATGCGAAGAACGCCAAAATACATTAGTTTATGGCCTTCAATCCGAGCATGACTAACAAGGTTTAGCATTTTTTCGTATACACTGGAAAATTCCGCATGTCTTTCAGTGAGGCAGTTGCATGAATCCAAAAATAACGTCTCTGAGAGGCATTCAACTTTCTTGTGAACGTTATTTTTTGTGCAATTTTTAAACCAAAAAGCAAAACAGCAGTCCGTCATGGACATAGCAGAAAAGGGACTATTTATATATATAAGTATTTTTGCCATAAAAGAGGCAATAGCTCAAAAGCGACAGACGCTGTTGTACAGCGCGTGTGAATGACGTTCTATTATCCTGCTCCATAACCATAGACGTACCTAACTTGTTCCTACGCAACAAATGTAACGTGTCCTCTCTTCCGTCCCTCCTTCCTTTCTTTGTTCCAACTTTTTCACTTTTCCGGCGAGTGCCAAATACCGTTAAAACACTGCCAGTAACGTGCTTTCTCTCTGGAATATGTGGGGTTATTTTGCGGAGACCTACTTGTACGGATTTTGTTCAGAGTTGAAACTCTTAGTCAACTAATGATTTGACAGAAATACTAAATTTATCGCTTAGTTTCACAGATACATAATTAGAATGTATATTTCATAGAAGACCTATATTCTGTCACACGAAGAGCCTGGTTTTACATTAACTTAAGGCTTTAGCTTTGGACTTAAAAACCGTTTTACTGACCCTGCTATCAGCTGGTGATGAAGGTTGAAATGTGTGCCTTTTCACCCCAATGCTAGATGAAAAGAGTTCCATTATTCGATAGCTAAAAATCAGCCAGTGTCATTTGACATTCTCGAGTTACAGGAAAGGTGCAAGGAGCCAAGACTAATTCGCGTGGGATATGGTTTACTGAGATGCGTCATGCGTGAGAATGATTCTCTGTGGGAACGTAGAAAATGGTCTACTGCATTATCAATTAGCGGACCCTCAGCTGAAGCGGCTAAAATGACGACGGCTCTGAAGTGGTCGAATCCCAAACTTATTTTCTTTTTAACTCAAGTCACCTGAAGGGACACGCAAGGAAAAATCCCCCCACGAATTTTGGACAATTTTGTTTGTACTGTGACATTTTTACCCCAGAATCCCTTTCCCAAAGATTTTTTGGTGATTTATGAACGGAACAGCTGGAATTGGAAGTCCTCATTGTTTGGGATAAAACCCGCGTCCGAGCAGTTGTTCAGGATCATGGTCGTACTGAGGAAACTTCATCCGGCAAATTCCAATATTGCTTTCATTGTTCAAATATTGTGCAAAAGCACCGGCTACTTCGTGTAGAAAATGATAAGGCAATGTTCCGATCGAAATAGCTTGTCACCACAATTTCACTCGCTTGAGTGCTTTTTGGTTTGTAATTTTTACTGGTGTCGTGTTTTTCATTACAAAAAGGAGATCAACTGCCTGGTGTGATCGTGTAATTTTCACACTTTCATCCATATAAGCATCTGACGGTAAATTTTGCCGTTTCCTTTTTTTCCCGCAGCGCCTCAACAAAGCCAAGGTTAGCGCACATTTTAACAAATCAGACGGAGCACCCGCTGGAGTGATGATCTTGTCCGATTCTGTTGGTGAGTAAACTTGCTGACCTGTAGTGGTCTATAATAAATTCGTCCCCTAATTGCCACTACAAATCCTGTCATGTTTCGAATGGTTTCTGTTGACTTGCTTTTTGACTTCCTTTTTTCATCCGTTCAACAAGTGAAGTTAAACATGACTATTCACTTGGCAGCCAAATTAAGGATCCTGAGAATCGTTCGACACCACATTCTACGTGGTGCACTTTTTCTCTGGGAACGTCAACCTGAAAGCGTTAAAGTTGGACTAGTATCTCTGGATCATAAGTTAGTGCCTTAATTTCCGGGTACTTGGTTCTCACGGGTTCATAGTAATTATCGCATATCCCGTGGCTCTTTATCTTGCCGCATGCGCCAGTTGTGCCGAAGGATTAGTGGCTCATCCTATAAGAAAAAAAGTTTGAATATATCGTTGACGACTTTCGATCACAACAATACATTTAAACTGGGAGAAAGAAGCTTCGGAATTAAAGATGACTGTCAACTAATACAGCTTTCAAGAGGCGACTTTATCAAGCCGGTGATTATATCGAATCCGATATTTTATTTCTGATTCTCGAAGTAGAGATTATTCAAGTCATCCCCCCTACTACCTTAATCTCCTGTTGCACCGGTGGTAGACGAATGCCCTGGGTTCAAGAAAATAGTACGTTTTTGAACGGCCATCGGTTGAAAACAAAAATGAACTTAATCTAGCTCAAAAAACCACCTAGAGAGTTATATGAATCCTTAGTTAACCACATACTGGAAGCACGTGACTAAATCCATATTCTCCTTGGGATTTTTCAAGATTATTGTGGGAAAGCAGTAGGAGTGTATTTGTTAGAAAAGTAAGACGCCCATTGTGAGGAGGTCATCCACCAAAATCGTTGAGTCTATCTCTAGCTGTGGATTTATTTTACTTTTCCCATAAATTTAGCAGTTCAGTAAATGTACGACACCTAAGCACGCATCATGTGCGTGGTGTCTTGCTCAGCCTGTTCTGCTGGATCCACTTGCAGTTTCTCTAGTGCCCCTTCTCTAGGGGACATTCTGAATGTGTACTGAATGTGTGTGTTCTTGTTAGGCGGTTTCCTAACAGAAAACGTTCCCATGAACACCTTCACGAGAAGTCACGAAATATCAGCCTTCTTCATGCTCAGTCGAATTTAAAATGTTGGCCAAAACGCATTCCTTTAGGCCACATTCCATTCACTATATTGACGATATGACTTTTTCCAAAGATATTTAAATCAAATAGTCCATTCCATTTAAAAAATTGCAGTAATTCATTGGCTTTTTCTGTACAACTACGAATACTCGCCTTTGCAAATCTGGTTCTGTGTTACGTCACTAATGCATACATGAAGCATTAAGATTTCTAACCAAGGATTTCATGTGTAAGGCCTGTGGATTCTGACCGACGGACCTTTAACACTGATTGAAGCTTGTAACAAGAACCGGGTGATGTATTGATCCTTAAGGCTATCACTCTCGTTACAATCTAGACAGTCAATGGTATAAGGAATAAGTGTGGAAAACCCTTAAGTACGCTCCTCCAAAAACATTCATTGCGATGGAATTTTAGTAGATTTCCTACACCTAAATTCTTTCCGTGAAATGGCAGCAAAAGTACTTTATTTCTGGACTTGTTCTCTTTTGAAAATCCAAGACGTTAGAATAGAGTATCTACCTTTGGATACGCACCATGCGAGTACGCTCGTATCACCTATCAGTCAGTTTTCACCATGTTTTGTCATGATGAAATCACCACCGCTAGTTAAGTCCTTCGAAAAAAAATATTCCTAACCCAATTATGTGGGATTGGTACTCAACGCGCAATGGACACTGCAATTTTAAGGATGCTACTGGTGAAAGGAAGAAGGCCTTTGCTACGGGGTTATTTATTAGGAAACGCCAAGTAAACACTTACAGACTATTGGACAGGGAAGCAAAACTCTCATATGTATCTTGTTTACACAAACTAAATATCCATCTTCTTCTTGAACGTGTCTTCCTGAACTTTCCTGGATATTCATCAAATGCAAGAAATGCTACAAAGCGACTCGACAAATTCCCTAATAGATCCCACTTTTCAAGATGTGCAGTGGATTTACGAGAAGATATACCACTCGCAGCAGTATCCGCCGTTCCACTGGTAAACAGCTTGTGCGCTCAACAATGGAAGGGAAATTAGCGCAACCCACAGGCACAAGCAGAATATGGTTGGTGGTGCCTGGATAATGTTCCTAATTAACAGGGACCATCAACCGAGTACGCTTACGTCATTTAGCGGCCAGTCTTCTAAATAATTACCCACATTCATGGGTAAAGTCCATCCTCATATATACTAGCACGATACCTACCGATACAAACGTGTCGAATGTATTTGATTTCTGTTCTACATTACATGAGATATTAAGAATTCTGTTCTTTTCAATAAATTCAAGCCTTCCGTTACCTATCTACCAGAACCCCGTACACTTTCCATCACGAGTTCCCGATCCCCTCATTGAAACTTAATCACCAATAAGCGCCTTTCAAAAACCCGTGAAAAACGAGCAAAGCTTTTTAAAAGAAAAGTTCCGCAGCTTCCGCAGAAGTTACGTATACTATGAAAAAAATTTTGGGTGCTGTCGTTAAACGTTGTTATCATTTGTTGCTTTAATTTTCAGAAGAACATCAGTCCCAGTCTACATCAGCTCCAGACCGCCAAAATTGATCTATTCTGGGGGCAGCTTACGCTTAAAAGTCCATCCTTAAGAATATTTCAGTGCCGCTCCGGAGAGCGATTTACGAACACTGAAAACTTTTCAAAATTCTGAGTTCCCAATAATAAGTTATTCCCCACGAAGTTCACAAAGTAGGGTTGCTTGCCGTCCAAAGTGAAAGTTGCACCTGATGAAATGCGATCCACCTAAGTCTTAATTAGAATTACGAATAAACCTTTGAGTTCTGAAGCATATTGGCTGTTGATATTCATACTCAGATAGCTGCGGTCATTTGAGAGATGTAACCTTTTCGGAATTTCTGAAATAGGCCATGTTACTTTTGCTAGAAACTGTCGGATAAACGATGTAGGTCAACGATATACGTGATTACTCGCCAACCAATTAATACTTGCAACTAGCAGCAAGGGTAAATTGTGATGCAACATTTTCCCTGGTTGTGCTTTTAATAATTAACAACGTCGTCGATCAGCCGTCACTTTTAGCAAACCAAGGTTACTCTCCTGCTGCTTCGGGTACTCTGTGCCATCGCTTGAGATGCTTCATCTTGATATTTGCTCATCGTGCGGGTTTTCGTTAGGTTATTCTAAATAGGCTTTTGACAAGGAGATTTACAGAACCAAATATATGAAGGTTTGATCGTCCAAATAACATATCCTTGTAACCGTTTTCTGCAGTCACTGATCCATAAAGTGCGTCCGTTTCGATAGTTTCATTCACCAAATCGAATTTTAGTGGATTTGATAAGCAAGAAAAAATAGGGAAAAAAATCCCGACGAAATACGAGTTATAAAAAAGAGCTCTCATCTGTAGCACCCTTACGGTGCCTAACTGCCATGCCACCCGAAAATTGCACGAGAGCTGGGACACTGCCAGGTTGCCCACGCCTAGACAGGAGAAGTCGAGAGACAGAGGGCCGGTTCGATCCACGGACTTTACGATCAGTAATTTCGCGCTCTAACCACTTCGGCCGTCTCGCCGTCTTGCGAGTTATGATCTCATTTGGTAAGAATACTGTCAAATTCCCACGACATTTTGGCAACGCAAATTCAACAGTCAACCGGAAATAAGGCTTTTAGATTTCAAAGTTTCCATATGTTGTGGGGAAAGGAAACAGGAAGCGTTCCATTGATTTGTGGTATTGTAAACAAACTTGAAGCTGTCCATCCATTGGACAGGCGGGATGTCGCTTACATGTATTTGGACGTTTTTGACATCTGCAGCCTGTCTTGGACGTTGTACGAATTTTTCATTTTTTTTGTAGCTTACTGGGAACAGTTGTTCGTATATATCTTCACTGCGGACCTCTTGATGTCACTTGCCATTTTTAAGGTAATATATTTAGACATATACGTCATACCAAATGACAAGACTGACGGTTCCGAGTTTTTGTGCACGTATAAGAATCATGTTTCAAAAGTATCTCGTCATAAACCGAGCTTAAGTTTAAGATCAGACTCTTTATTGTGGATGGGTTTTTGACACAAGGCACTTGGTTGTTTAAAAATATTCTATAGGAAATCGCTTGTTACTGAGATACTCGTGAATCCCAATTTATCACGTGATTCTATCACTACGTGGTCCAAAAGCCAACATTTTATCTACCAGTTCGCATCCTTCAAGGTCCTTTATTGCTCCCATTTTGACTAATTTATAGACGGGCAACCACGTTTCACTTCGTTTGCTCTCAAAAACAATGTTCTTGATGTTGTGACGAGATTCAACAAAGTCAAAGCAACATTTCACTTGAGATTGTTCCATTTGAAATGCATCTTATAAACTTTTGTTAGCCAATAATCCTATCAACGTCCATAGCTAGGTATGCAAGAAAACTGCTAGCGTCGCAGACGTTAGGAGTAATTGCTTCTGCTTTTAAAACCCTAGCTGCGATTTCTTGTTTTGGCAGTATTTTTTAGCGACAACTATTTCTGCAGTTTAGACGGTCTCACGGAGATTTACCGTATAAATGAATGCTCATGATTTCCGACACTCCTCGCGTATGATAACATCGAATTACGCATTATAGTTAATTACCAATGTAATAGTAAAAATTACAGCAAACGCAAAACGTTCGTCTTTTTTTCACGCTGGTGCCTTTTGTTGAAGAATTAGTCATATATATGTCTTGTGGGAACAAAAAGATATTCTACAGTAATTTGTTTCAAAGTAAGTAGAATGTTTAGGTTTAATGAACTACACATATCAATGCTGAAAATGTTTCGACGGCCCACGACCGGTCTCGTCACTCTAGGAGCCCACCATGGAGGTGCCGTCCCCGAGATTCCGTCAACATCATGTGTTGCTTCGACCCAACTTACACGAAATTCGATAACTGCACTCATCCACGCACCAGTTTGTTTTTGACGAGAGACTCACCTGGAACATAGCTGAATGTCTCTTTTATGACGTCGTTCGGCAACTGAATGTGTTTCGAAACCCATAGGTTTAAACCTTATGGACTATGAATCTGACTCTCGTTTTTTGAGACTGTGGTCCGACGAATTGTAGACCACCATTTAAATATTTTCCAAGAAACAACCAACATAATCACTGCGGGCGATTTTCCTTAATCCTGCCGTATTTTTGTGCTTGGTTGGGCCGTGAATTTTGTGTGGTATTTTCAAGTTTTGATCATATTTTACGGTTAGGACATCTCACTCTTTTATCCAGGACATTTTTCTCAAGTTCTCGCGTTCGCTGATGGTATTCCACTCAGTGTTTCACGTTTCATATTCATGAGGCAGAATATGACCGTATTTGTTGATATTTCCTGCTTTTCCTCAAGATTTATTAGAGCATCTATAGTTGTTGAATATCGTGTCTATTCGGCTGCCGGATACTACATATTCACGTTCATTTCACCTCTGAATGCGTTCCCCGATCTTCAACAACCTGTCAGTAGAACGATAATGATCAAGTCTCTCAGAAATGGTGTAGATTAAAACCACGTCAACAGACGGCACCTCCCTCGCGTGTGAGAATTGGAATCAGGAAATTCATGAAGGACGGTTGAAATTACCCACTGCAGTGAGGTCAATCAATGAGGATTCTTCCAATTCCCATTCTTTGCAGTGCTTCCTCATACTGTGATGAACAGCGGCAGATTGTATATAGTGTTACAAGGTTGCCGATCATCTACACTATAAAACAGTTGGAAATGTATTTGGGAGCGCAGCATGCGCTACCCACTTCGTTTAATGTACGCAGAACACTACTTGTTTCCTAATCACCACAGCCAACGGGTATCCACTTCTTATAATTCTGTCGCCCTTTTATATCAAGCGGAAATCTCCTTGTTTCAACCAGTTTGGAAGGCGTTCTCCAAAACTTGGAGTCGTTTTCCCCTGAAGTGGGCTGGTTATTTAATGTACGAAAATTTTGGAGCTAGGGGATCGAATTTTGCGTTTCATCATTTATCAGCCCGCCTGTAGCATTTTAACATTTCCGGAGTAAAATACGGTGTGGACTGTATATCAGTAGTTTGAACAATTAACGTTCATAAAGGTCGGACCTGTCACGGTCAGTTTACTTTAGCTTGGTTCGGTTGGCACTACCAGGCCAGGAGAATGGTGCCTGGTTTTTAAATAGTTCCATAGATACTGCTTTTCCCACAAGTAATGACAACAAAGCAGATTTTTTGTCTGCCAACAATATTATTTTAATTCAACCTATAGAAAGTACACAGAGCCAGATTAGTTATTTTTCGCGTTCACTCTTCGGAACATGTGACATGAAGCTGCGCTACTTAAACTATCGATTTTACAAAACGGGAGCGAAACCATTCTAATTACCTACATCTGCCCAAAATCTGACCTTAAATATTGATTTTCTCTAACCCATTTTAAGGAAGTATGAGAAGCAAACCGGTAGGATTACTTGATCCCACATTGTGTGTTTCGAACCTTTCACTGTCACACAGGACAAAGTTTGATCGTGAACCAGGTTACGGTGCTTAAGATAGGCGTAATTGGTAGTTGAAATATCGGATAGATTTCCACGTCATTATCCACTTGTTTTTCAAAAGAATTAGTGCTTCAAAGCCTATTGTTTTTCATATTCTGTTCAGGAACTAGTGTGCAGACGGAGACGGTACTTCGGAGTCCTGTCCTATCGATTATTATATAGCGGCTTCAACACAATATGGTGAAATATATTCAAGCTGTGTATGTTGATTACAACTATGAATACGAAATAAACCTCTCTTCATTTGGATCGAAGTAAATGCTCATCAGCTTCTGGAAACATTTTAACTTTTCTGGCATTCTTCTGTCAATCACTGCATGCACCTCACTGTCACTCACTGAATAAACAAAAGAACGTTTTATTACGTTCGTTTGCAAGCGTTACTTTTGCTTTGTTTCAAGTCCCTTCGTCTGGCTGCTAAAGATTTACACTGCGCCTGCAAAAATCCTCTAAGGTCGAATTGTATATTTTCTGGAAGCTACACTGATGTTTCCAAACACACCAAACGTATATTAGCAGCAATATATACGGACACGGCTAAATCCTCGTCGTAGTTTTTAAACATACAACCATACAATTTATCATACAACTCAGTAGTACTCACGTTCTTGAAGTGTACCTTCCGTCGACTCCTAGGGGAAGATTTCCGTTAGACAAGAACAGTGCTGAGCTTTTCATTCAAAACAGATCATCAATTGCTTTAGTATTTCTCTGTTGTTCTCTCTAGATTCTGCTTTTGATTCGATTGTGGCTGTGATACCCAGTGGGGAAGTGAAAAGCCAAACACCGGAAGAAACCCTAAAGCCCAAAGAAGAAGGACCACCTCTTACTGTCGAAAATGCTGAGGTTGCCTCGGATGTGATACTTGTCGATACCCTGGATCCTAATCGATGTTTCCAAACACACCAAACGTGTATTAGCAGCAATATATACGGACATGGCGAAATCCTCGCCGTATTTTTTAAACACACAACCATACAATTTATCATACAACTCAATAGTACTCACGTTCTTGAAGTGTACTTTCCGTCGCCTCCTAGGGGAAGATTTCCGTTAGATAAGAACAGTGCTGAGCTTTTCATTCAAACAGACCACCAATTGCTTTGCTATTTCTCTTCGTTGTTCCCTCTAGATTCTGCTTTTGATTCGATTGTGGCTGTGATACCCAGTGCGGAAGTGAAAAGCCAAACACCGGAAGAAACCCTAAAGCCCAAAGAAGAAGGACCACCTCTTACTGTCGAAAATGCTGAGGTTGCCTCGGATGTGATACTTGTCGATACCCTGGATCCTAATTTGACTTATGAATATACTCTGCACATGTTAACGGTAAGTTCTATTTTGAATCAGGTTCCTCATGATTCTCAACCCTGAAAACCTGCCACACCTTGGTCAGACATATATCGGACCGGAGAACAAATGTTATTGCATGGCTGACTAATACTTGTCCCCCTCAGCTGCTCAGCATCTTTCCATTTACCTGAACAGTGAACGTCCAAGTGAATGAGGCCATAAATATGTGGAACTGATTTTCTACCTATTACTGAAAGTGCAGCGCTAGGTTAGAGGGCTATCTAATACTCTCCAATGACCGGCTGCATAGACAAATCATTTTAGGAACTCGAGCACGGAATTTTGTAGACAGAAGTGTGTGCCAGAATGTTGGCCACTCCACTGTCAGCCATTTCTTGATCTTCCTCCAGAGCAACGGTAACAATCGATTCGAAGGATGCACTTCGTTCATGAATGCTTTGAATGAACTGGGTGAACACTGCGAAAACAATTTTCCCCCACTAGAGCTTGATAGGCCCGATAATAGCCACGCCTTGAGTTTGGTGTGTAACCAAATATCTCGGCAAACGCCGAGTCACGTGAACGATTTTTACACCCACCAAGGTAAAAAACTTGGGTTTAAAAAGTTCCCTTTATCTCTGCTTTTAATGATAAGACACACTTTTAACGTGTAGAATTAGAAATCTAACATGTTTTCAACACATGTTTGTGAGTTTAAATCTCACATCTATTTTCTGGGCGTTTCACACAAGGGGATCCAAAAACAAACATGTTTCTTAGTTTCTTAGTTCCGTTTTTCATCCACTGTGAAACGTTTCTTCTATAAGACATCGCAGGTTTTGAGTCTTTTAGCTATAGGAATTACAAATCAGGTTTGGTTAATCGCGTGGGGTACCTGAAGTCTATTAGTAATTATCAAACTGGTACGGGATTTCATTTAAGGATGAATGCAAACGCAAGCAAATACACACGTTGCATACCTGAATCATTCTTATTTTGTGGAAACGAATGCACATTCTTCATAGACCATTGATTTTTGCAATGTAATGCACAATCTCGTTATTCGCCCACGCCATATTTCATCCCAATTCGTCGGCATAATTCGGGCCTGTGTATGAAAAATATCGCAACATTTGTAAGTGTACATTGCCTCCCTTTTTAAGGTGAGGAATTATGGGAACTGGTGGGTACGTTCTAGAGTGATGCAAGCAAAAAGGGTGAGGAGTGTAATGGCTTGGTATGTTCCGATTTCCGAAGATAATTTTCCAAATTGCCGATCGTGTGATTGTGCAGTTCTTCCACACAGTGTTTGGACTGATTACGTAATCGATAATAAAATATGGGTAGAAACGTGCTAGGTCATTGTTACAACCCAGTTGGCGCCATCGACATACGCATGGTATCAGAACCTCAGCGTACATATTAGAAAATCAGAGCTTCGTTAGTGACGTTAATATTAGTGTTGTACATTCATATGCAAAAATATACAGCACCAGACTCTAAGTGCTTGGCTGCGAATCATCGTGGCCTGTGGTCACATGAACAGCTTTGGGCAAAGTCGATTCAAACACGTGAGGCAGTCGAGGTTGTGCAAACAAGACAACCAATGACTAGAGTGCCTTAAGGTTCAATTCAGCTGGTTGCGTCAAACGCTACATTAAACGTATACGTGGGACGTAAGTTACGGATGAGAATGGCTAATGTTTGGTGTTTTGAATTGCTTGGAAAGAGAAAATACGTCTGTTCTTGTGCGAAGTATGTCGTTTTCAAAAACGAATAGCAGATCTTCAGCAAATAGCGCGTGGTCTCGCAGATCGCAACATTCATTGCACAGCTTCGGGTGTATTCAGCACTGTCGCAACACCAGAACTAGTCTGCGTATTTGCACTTTTATATCAAACTGAATTTGTGGCATAACTACACTAGACTAGTAAACAACTCTCTGGTACAGAAAGCGTTCGGATAGCGATAGAACATCCGAGGTAGATGGCCAAGTGAAATTGTACTCAAAAGTGGTGCAAACAGCGGTGAGTTCCGACCTTGAACTATGTGTTACACTTTGTGGCCTCCGTTGACATGATAGCAGGAAACCTTCGTCCGTTGCATTTAATTGGGCATCCCATTCCCCCATATGGTTTTGGTGAGGTTGCTGGTATTTTCAACAACCGAGCGCATGCAATGTTTGCTGCTTTACAGGATGCCCTCTGTTTGTAAGAGTTACCTCGAAAGTTTTCGAAATAAAATTGGGAGGTAGTTTGCTCTTTACTTTGGAAGGTCAAGGATGATTGATCCATGCAGGCCGGGCGTGGCAACCTCTTCCTGAAAGCAAGTTGCCACACCTCAAGGCCTCTAATTCAACAACTAGTTGGAGCGAGATGGACATCAAATTCACCACGCCCACCCAGACAGCAGTCTTTTGTGTTCCAGGTTGACCCTCTGGCTTTTAATCAAGTGCTGGCAACCAACTGCACCGCAATAACTCGATGAAACGCATTTTGAGTAGGAATTCTCAGGACACTGGAAGGTCCGAGATTCAACAAAATCCTCCGGCAACCCAATTGACATCGCCTAAGAAACAAAATCATTCAAAACACTAACTTATTTCCATCTTTGGGTTCGTCTGGTTAGTCGACCAATTCATTTCATCAATACGAAGAGTATACTACCGTTATAAGCAAGATTTTGGAAGAAAAACCTGTTTTGTTGTAATTACACTCTGCTTTGCTGAGCTCGGGGTGGTTCGGTGGTTAGGACGTGAACGTGCTGACCAGAGGGTCCCTGGTTCAAACCTGACCTCAGCACCTGGACTGCTCCTGTATAGGCCTGAGAAACCTGACAGTATCTCAGCCCTCCTGCCTTCTTCGGGTGACATAGCAGATCGGCACCTAAAGGGTGCTACAAGTAAACCATGCTTTCCTTTACGAGATTCTGGTAAATGGTGAAACACAATCGGAAACCATACGCCCATTGTTCCGTCCCAAAATGAGTCATTCAGTCCCGATAAATAGTTTACAATGCAAATGTGATACAACGGACCGCTGTGTTGTAGCTAAATCTGTAGTTGAGCCTGACGACGAAGGCCTCGTACGCAAGTCGGTTGATCATAATCACCAGAACAGCTACTGGATCATGGGTTGAGTCGTCAGGGTCACCAGTCGTATCGCTTAAGTGACAACCCAGATCCGTCCAGCTTGCGTAGGTGAGTAGTTGCGATACGGTTGTCTTCCATGTGGCATGTCAGGAGTTCAAACATCGGCACGGCAAAGGATACGTACTGCTGATGAACTCCAATCAGCTCGGCGCTCGAGTCGAGTGCTTCTCTCATTGGTGTTGGCTGACCGGAATAACACAGGACACGAAGGGCACCGTCAAAACGAGGGTGATGGGAACTTGAAACCAAATTATTGTGCATGAGTATATTTCGAGAAACTGAAGTATTCTGAAGAGCCGTAAGTCGAAATGCGCTTGTGTATTTTCAGATAAAAATAAGGATCTACTTGACTTCAAAACATTTTCCAACTAGAATAGATTGGGTCGATTTCACTCAAAGGGTCTGTAGACACTCGAAACTGCTAACTCATCCTAGTAACGCTAGACTACGCTGGGACCAGGCTTATTTCACGTGTGCAGATGAAAGTTAAGGAAACGACAAAACCCTACATGAAAATGACTGCATATGCCTGTAGGATCGGACTACATTTGGTCATTGATTCTGCCTTTCCATCAAACTGACCCTGAATCTGTTGGCTAGTTCATGACTGCCACAGTAACAAACACCGTTACCTGTACCTCTTCCGTATTTACGTGAAATGTCATCATCTTAAGCAAACGAGCCTCAGGCACCAACAGAACTCGTGTTTTCTGCACTCTTGAGTACCCCAAAATCCTGACAAATATTTAGACTTACCGCACGTACATTCAGTAATTTGCAATGATATTGCTTTTTCAGGCCTACGAGAATTTGGAATTGTTTGTGACTGTGACATTCGCATACCGAGATTTGTAGCACGTGTAGTAAAATATATTGCACTATACCTCTTCTGCAAGGGATATCAGGAGATCAAAAGACAAACCTTACGGTCAACTTGGTACGACTTTTGAAGACTGTGACTGTTCGTCATCGAGGAATCTGCTTGAGTTTGGATGTTGTGTTATGCGGATAAAACATTGTAAATCAGAAGGCTGAAAATTGCCGTATCGGATGTTGGCAGTGCATACTAGGGATATCGACAAACAGCCTTGGAATGAGCCTTAAAACACAAACTTAAAGTACATGGGACGACACGGGTATGTTTTGCGGGTTTGAATGCAACATCCCTATGCGCGGTATCCATCCGCAACATCCAATCTGAATTCTGGAGTTGCGCGAGATTGTTTCTTGTTCACTTTTATCATAGACAAGAAATCTTGCACACTTTACATGCCATCGATATTTGGACAGCTGCTGGCACCGTCATTTATCGTTTTGGCTAGCTGTAGCATCTGCTACTAATTAATGTGAGCCTCGTTGCAGACAGTTGGAGTCATTACCCATTACCCCTAGACGTAACAGGTGTTTCTTAAAAATAGATCAGCCTGTTGTCCTCCTGCACCATGGTTAATTTAGGACTATCTCGGTTCGGACGATAAGGGCTGATTTTCTTGACTTTTTGCTAGATCCAAATTGTGTTATCTTGATTTGCCATAATGGTTCTTTGTGCACTATCAGAGAAACCACTTAGATTACAGAACCTGTTTTCTTCGCTTTTCTTATTGCAGAGCTATTGTACTCTAATTATGGTAAACATTACAAGATTATCTTCGGTGCGCTGATTCCGCTTCGACTTTCAGTTCATTTTGGCATCAAATCCGTTTTCCTGTTCGGATGTTAAATACAACCCTCTCGTTAAAAGGTGTAAGCATTTTCGACGGAATGAGAAAAGGCTATTTCCCTGAAAATTGTTCGATTTGTTGGAGAGGGTTCAAGCCTTAAGCCTGGATTGCTGTGCCATTGTGAAAACTTTATGTTCCGGTTTCATACTGAGGTTTATTTTCTACAGTAATCCTACGAAAATGCCGAACTTTATTGCAGTGTAATGGTTCCTGTATCTGGTAACCTAGAGAACTATACTGTCGAGTACCCGCGTAGTACCTTCACAGATTAGGTTACCATCTCCTCTAGCTATATCTGACCAGTACTACATCCCCGCTGACTTACAGGTAGCATAAGTAATGAGCGAATCCCCTAACTGAGACTTGTGTGGCGTTGGGCACACACTATGAATGATCGCTCCCTTTTCAAAACCTCATCTACTGTTTCGAGTGCACATGGGTTGAATAAAACCAGTAAAACTGGATCCAGTTAGAAATTAGTAGGATCGAAGTACCAAGTAAATCGACTGTCGTCTGAGGGTATATGACAACCCAATGCGATTATTCGGTCACTTCATTATCAATATTTGCATGAAACGATTTTCGAAACAGAGTTGTCTTGTATCGCTTTCGTCAACATTTAGGGAACTTCAAAAATAGTTTCCAGAAGTATGATAGAGTCCACCTTGTATCTGTACATAAAATGTCGCCTTAAAATGAATTGGTACGCCTCAAAAGAGTCCTGTATCCACCTCACGATTTAATGAATATCTTCCTGTTGTGGCCTAGGCGTGCCCCGAGACTGTTTACAGCAAAACGACAATCATGATTTGTCCAGTAAACGGCTTAGGTTGTTTCCCGATACATGATTAAATGAACTACATCTAACGGGTGGTTGTTTGCCGTCGCCAAGGCAGTTGTCAGGAAACGTTTGTTGCTTCTATATCCATCTGGTTATTTATTCACTTCCTATAATCACTTAACCTACGTCTCTCCTTTTTTTGGCGACCAGAATGAGCGCACACGTTCCCATGGTCCACAGTGAAAAATAACTGCAACCAGACGGTTGTTCATACGGTTTCGCGTCAAATATGTAGCTTGAAATAGTCACCTTTTCAGGTCCTCAATGAAATCTGTGTGCGCACTTGAAAACCTGAATAGTGCTACTGTTCAGCGATCGTCATTTCACCATAGCCCTGTAGATATGGTGTCCCCATAGTGAGCCATTTGCCAGTGAAACATGTTGAGTTCTTTTTATTAGTTCAATATTCAAGCTACTATGATGCTTTGAACCGCCTATCGCATACCGCGTAGTAAACCAGTACCGTGGTTAGTGAGACAAAAAAGCAATCGTTCGGCTACAAAACCCTTTTGGTGCCTACCTGCCGTGCCACCCGAAGGAAGCATGAAGGCCGGAGTACTGTCAGGTTACGTAGATAGGGGAAGTCGCCCAAGACTGAATACCAGCAATGTTGAAACAGGTCTCCGTGGGTTTGCAGCTTTTTAGCGTTCACAAAAAGGCATGGAATAAAATCGTTTTCTTAAATACAACGATGGATAAGGATATTCTATAAATACCCTTGGGATTTATTCTGCAACCAGTGGATAATTGACCGTTGTTGTGAGCAAAAGACATCATGTCCAGAAGGTCAACTGCACTTGGATATTTCTTCCTTATTTTGAACCACTAGGTAATGGTAGTAGTGGATCTTTTACGTAAACCGTTACTTGAAAACCTCAAGTAAGTGTTTGCAGATTGGTTTGGGTTTGGAGGGTTATGTGTATATCGATAATAACCTACTACTCGTATTTCCTTATGAGCCTTTATTATTGCCTTCCACGACTTCTGCCTTCAAAAAGTCAATACAAACCAATAGGGGGGCTTCTGGCGTGTCATAAAAAGTTGGACACACTGTTGTGAGTGAAGTAACTCAGCCTCCATCCGTGCCATTGGATAATACACACCGGTTTTACCTCCCTATTTGGAAACCAGGCCAAGCCCATTGGTTTGTGTTAGGCTTCCATGCTAATTGTATAACTTGCGGATGTTTTTTTACCATTTTGGTTTGTATGGGCTAAATTGAGTCAACTGCGTTAACTTTAAATGAAATTTTTAGGATGCTGTTTGGACAAATTCTAGCCACTGGTAATTTGTCATCGTCTTTTGAAATCTGTTTACATCACCTGTCCAGGTAGAAGTCTGAATTCAACCCATCTGTTTCAACAATAAAAAAGTTGAATCATTAATACCGCAAATAGACCACGAGATCTCACAGTATTTTAGACTTTTCCCTGTAAAGCACTGTTTGTGTCTTGTGAAAACGATGCCTGCACTTGCTCCAAATCTTGAACGTGAAGTATATTTCCTGGTATTCGCCACCCTAAAATTAATATTTTTGAACGTGTGATGCGTGATTGTGGGCAGAGCGCCGTACGTACGTAGAACATTGTTTTCAGTTTTCTTTTTATTCGTTTTCAGTTATACTATTCACCACCATTGTCAAAATACTTAATTTCCAGCATGTATTACCGAATGGCCCTTACACTCGAACGTTCATAACTGTTATACAGCGCAAATGATACAACATTTATTTCTGTCTGCGATTTCTTCCGGATGAAGTTTTATCAACTTTCTCACCAAAATATAACTGAGAGTGGCTCACAAAGTGATTGTCGGAGTGCTTTTGTACAAAAAAACAGCGGGACAGTATTTTTGGACATCCCTTCTATGACCTTCACTGATACAATAAAACACACCAACTCATCTATTTTAGACACCCCAAAAATCAAGCGACGCGTAACATATCTCTTATTTTCTCTTGGATAGGCACGGAATAAGTCGTTTGTGTGTCAACAACTTCGGCCTTCAAAGTGAGTTTCATGGGAGGTCTTTTGAGTGATAACATCCAAAATGGATATTTGTATGCCTGTAAGTATGCTTATAGGAATATCTTACAGAAATGCTGGATTTTTGCCTCTATAAATTATCGGCCGCCAGATCGCTTTCACGATCCTCCACAGTGGTCTGCGGCATCTGTTTTCGAGAAGGAGGTTGGTGGCTTCAGTGGCGTAGCGTTGGTATGCGCGACTACCGATCCATCGCTAGGCATTTTTGATTCGCAGGTAGAAGGTTCAAGTAACCTCGTCTCTTGGATACCTTCGCCAGCTAACAGGCATCTACACGCGAGAAACTATAATTCTTCTATGAATGCCCGCATAGAAACGTGCTACCATTTGGTGCAAATCACATGCTGGGACCAGACCATCCCTATATCTGAACCCCAGCAGGACGAATGGCAGCCGAATGCTAAAGGTACTGTTTACAGACGTCCCAGAAAATGCAGGAATGTAATCAGTGGGAGCAAGAAATATTGTCCGTCTAAAACCGGTCCACGCTATGATACAATCACCAACCCATCGATACATTACGCGCCCTAAAAACACTGATGGTATCACCACGACTGGTGATTAAATGTTTGCAATCGAACTGTTCTTCAGGCTCTTCAGGAATTACACTCCCCTACACAGACAGATGGCGTCATTCAAGAAAGGCTAATTAAAAATCTAGACACTAGGAAGTATCAGAAGGTACACCGACATACAATAGCAATGTAAAGACTACAATGTTTACTCGGTAAAAGAACATTATACAAGGCAGTGGGGACAACACCCTCCGTCGTTCCCTATTCTATGCTGATTTTGCCGAACTTAGTCTTATCAATCTCCTCTATACGATACCGAATCATTTATTTTCATCCGTAACTCAATCAACATGACTTAACTGCTAAAGCTTCGGGCATACCAAACGCGGTTTCCGTAATCGAATCGTTTAAAAAGAATATGTTTCGCGATGCAACCTACATAAACACTGCAGATCCATAACACAAACCTGAAGGGGAATAGCGATTTCCAAATTGGACGAGAGAATCTCAGTGGACATCTCACGTTTCAAAGAAATCTCAGAAAAAAGACTACTGGAATTCATGGATATTCCCTCTCCACAGTCTCCTAAATCGCCTCACAGAATGCAATTTCCTAGTCCTGCACTGGTCCGTAATTCATTACTCAAGTCTACTTTGACTGCCGTGAACAGTCAGTTGTACAGCAGACGGTTAGCAATGGCATCAGTGGTTCTATTATGTTGCGTTGATCATTAGTAACACGTTCTAGATCTTAAGTTGGTTCTTCTCCCACTAAAACTGTTGATCGCACAGAACATAGGGTCCATCTTGCTGTATATATTATTGGTTATTCGAAAATAATAATAGAAAATGACTCTCACTGACGTGAAACGTGGTTGTTATAGACCCCTGCGCCACAACTTTTCTTTACAAAAACCACTTTAAGTCTACTGGAATTTTAATATCCTCTACAACCTTATGAGCTAGCACACAAAATATTTTGCACATCGACCAATATTTCTCTTCCCAGTATCACTTCGTCTACTGCGGAACTTTCAAACCCCGAGAGATCTCGTGTGGAGAAAGCTCTCAGGACTTACCTGCAATTAGCCATCTGGAACATTTGTTCCCCCTCTTCCTATTCATACACCCATAAGCATAATTTTACCGCAGCATAGACACTAGCGGTACTACGCTCCATCTTCCAGTGCGCAAAGTGATGTATTGGGGCTCAACGGAAGAAAAAATATTTGCCGATGTTGCTGCTTCATTGAAAAAAGCGGAGTGTTATTTTTGGACATCTGAGCCTATTCATTGATTTATACATTCTAAATTTCTCACTGCCGACTAGTAAGTTATCCCTTAACCATCCCACAGATGTTACCGAAACTCTCATTTAAGTGTACTTCAGAAGATACGTTTCAGCGTGAATTTTATAGGCTAAGGAAAAGACACATCTTATACATACTGGAGTGGCACTATGACAAACATTATTTATTGTCAGACTAAACTTGTAAGCTAAGGTTTCCGTTTTCGAACAAGAATCATCGGTATAAATAAACTGGGGAGCGAGAAACTATCCTGAACACCTCATCAATAAGAAAACCTCACCCCTACTCTGTAAACCGGGCAATGATGACTAATTTTTAGGTTCGCACATAAAGCGGGCTTTGGCTTGACAGACTATCAAATAAAAAGCAGTATGTCGTCTAGAGCCACCGATCTATTGTCTCCTATGGAGAAGGTGATTGTCTAAACAACCTAAGCATTAGCAAGTCGTCTGTTTGCTTAACGCTGCATTCCTTGTTGTCTTTGTCCGAAGCGTTGTTCTCCGAACTTCTGCATACTGGTGGCAAAAATCACAAATATGCAGACCTTTTTGGTGAACTGGACTTTGCTTTATTCGGATTTTACTAGAAAGACAAACTTACTATTCAGACGGATGCTTGGCTGTCAGCTGACGCAACCCGATAACGGTTCGATTTGACCAGACATGCCCATTTCATATATGCTTGAGCTTTTTGTAAAGACTAACTTCCGGTGCGAGAATGTGTGCTCGCTGTTTATCTGAACAAATCTTCAGTACCATTAACAAGGAGGTCAGTCGACTTGAGTGTGATTAATACTTTCTCAGTGCATGCCTTTTTCAAACTGGAACATGGGAGTTTAGCCGATTCTGAAATAGTATACCTGGACGTCCCGTCAACTGAGTCGAAGTTAGCTTCTAAAATTTTCTCGTAGTGGATAGTTCTTGACCCATTCAATACTACTGGAGAATTGGCATTAATTTCGACAATAATCGAAACGCGAAAACCTCGCAGGAAATTTACACCTTCTGTCGCCTGTGTTTACTTGTAAATTCTCAACTGTCCTCGGTGATATGCAGGAGGAAACTGTTCCATAGGAGGACTGTACCAACACTTTCTGATTAGAATCCAACCCTCTCTCCCTTATCGGTCAAAACAGTGGAGTGTAGTTCCCAGTACTTCAACCCCGAAATCCCGCAACAAGCCGAATACGTGGAGGGTTATGCAAGGTTATATTTCCTATATGAAGAGGTTACCTTTTGTGTGTGATTACATGAGACGTCTTCATATGCCGCTCCTTTTTTATTATTTAGGGGTGATGGTCGGGGAACTTGGAGCTCAGAAGACTGTCAGACTGTGGTCGTTGGACAGCAACTTCAGTGTCGTTGCACACCACGACAAACTGGAACGTTTGCCATTGCACTGGTCTATTGGCTTGGTGACCCAAACGTGAGTAGCTTGTAACTGGGAGCACCGTGTTCGCAACTGCTTCCCAGCAGAATGCATTCACAAATTACATTCTGCTTAGTCGTTTTTCGCTGTGTTAATTAAGCGAACGGAATGTTTGTAGGTCCAACGGAGTTTCTTCCAAAAAGTTTGCCAATTGACTGCTATTGCTGTCCCTGGCTCTATCGCTTTGTCAGTGTTAGTGCGGCATTTATCCGTTTGTTTTGGTGCTGTAGTTTTTCTCTTTTTATCAAAGCTCATCTACATAATTCTCTTTTATGTATTCGTTTTTCGCCTAATGCTAGGCAGTGTATATCTGAGATCCTTTCAGGTTGCTTGTTACAGGAGGCACATTACCAGTAAATATGTTAACATTTCTGGACCCCGAAAACATCCCAGAATCTAGAATTAGCTGGTCGCTTGATATTTGTTGCGCGGTGTTGGCATCGATGCTCCAAAAGATGGGCACACAATGATTAATACATAATTTCCACATTTGAAATTCACCTCAAGCGTTAAGCCAACCTATGGCGAATAGCGAATAAGCACGAGTGGCTGATGCGTCTTTTTTGAGAATCGTCACCATGTGAGGAGATATCGTAACTGCATGGTTGGGTGGGTAATCCTTCTAAATATGCAACACGATTGGTCGTTTAGAAATTGGCCGTTGCGTAATCCGATTGGTTCTTCCAGAATAGGTAAGCTGTGGCCCAGCTGTCTCGTATACGATGCATGCATTGAGCAATTTCTTTTGATTTCTTGGAGGCATTTAAAAAAACCAAATGAATGCAAATAATCGGAGAACAGCCCAACGACATTCTCGAAAGGACCAACAAAATTACGTGCCAGCCAATTATGTAACACATATTACAGACAATCCTTAAAGCGAACGCAGAAGTGGACGAATCGCCTACCCTGCTGCACACTGACATCGTTATCTAGCATGGTGACAAGAGAGTTGCAAGCCAGTTGCCAAGCGCTCGAACAGACCAACTGTCTTGAGATCGACAGACAAGATTTTTGGTGCTGCGTGTAATTCCCAAAAACAAAGTTGTACAATCATGCTCCCGCGTTCAATATAAGTTGGCGGAGCCTACTAAGTGTTTTCTAAATTAGGCTTCAACACCTGCGGAATCGGTCGAGTCTTGTTCCTAAATCATAACACTTTGTGCTAGGAAATAATCCAAACAACCATACACTAGAACAAAAGCCAGCTCATCAAGAGGCACAAGACTCGACAGAAAAACGAGCTTCTACAGTATCAGTTTCGACTACCTGCCCGACACAATGTCTCATAACATGATGCTATTGTAATTCATCGAGCCTTTACATCCAAGCTGAATTTCGACACAGAGTTGACATCACTATACTGCTAGAATGAACATTTTTCCTAACCTTCCTCTTAATTCGAATTCCAACTATCTTGCGCGCTAATTTAGTTGCCGATTTCACTCATGGATTTGAGATATTAGGAGATTTCGTCCGTAGATCTTCAGACTGCTCAGACGCACGATTCCTGGCTGTCAGTCCGGAACTCGTCCATCACCTTTCGGTGCATAATCTACACCGAAAGTCCCAAAAGTCAAGTAAAATCAGAAAAAATTGTTTTTAAAATAAAAAGCCGCCAGCCAGCCACCCAGCGAGGTTTATTGATTACCAAATTTTCGTTTGGGTACACTTTTATGGTATCCTGTTGTTAACATGATGGCTCCTTTCAATGCAGATTGAAATCGAGAACAAATGGCTGGTGGAGACCGTGAGCTATGTATTCACCGCAATCACTGTTGTCGCGTTGATACTCTTCCTCATCTTCACGCGTTTCATGTGAGTTCCTGGTCACAGAAGTCATGTGCTCTTTCATGATTAAGCGTGTACACGCATCAGGCACTCCGGCTTTTCTTGCCACTATACAAAACGACCGTGCTTTGATCAAAATAATTCGCCTTCATCTATCTTACCTTTCTTGATTGTACACAATTTGTTGGAAAAATCTGCAGAATAGGTTCCGACTGATTCATTAACCTTAAATTTGCTTGACGTGTTTCCAGAACCCATTGACACTATCAACACCTGCATCCAAGCTAACAACGTATACATCAGCTTTACAGCATCCGTTGTACGAGGGGAATTTGGTAATACGTTTGGTTTGTTCCCTGATAGCCTGTCAATCTTGTTTATGTGATAGCATGTATATGTTGTGTTTTGGACCCATTTTAACCAGACCATACTGAATCCAATGGCTCTTAAGAACGCATTCTAGTGCGAACGGAACAGGAGCGGTCGACCATGTATGACTGCATACGGCTTACCTGACAACATGCTCACTCGGCTGACTGCCTCCTATGAAACAAACTCTTGCATGAGGAGCTTCCGTATGGTTGTAGTAGTTTGTTGTGCAAAAAGCTACCTTCGTCTTTGGTGCATATAAACTAGCCTTATCATAATATCTGGTGAAACGGATTGCTACAACACGTTACGACTCATTTTTCGGCTCGCAGATTGATAAAAGGCACGTGAACTACAGACATGCTTGTCTCATATCTGCGACAGGTTTTCGGTATCTAAAGCACACCGTAGATATGCGTCTAGGAACACCTGTTAGTGTCGAATAGTGGTATTCAATGGGAAACAGGTGGAATATGACTCAGCAGAGACAGCTTTTCCCAGTACCTCAGCTAGATAACTTGTTTTTTCTAGCCGTATCATATGGAGATCAAATTTATCTGACACATTGCCTGAAAAACTAAATTGGAAGAGTTTTGTATACTCTGTTTCAGTTGTGATTGTCCATTTTCACCAGTAGAACACTAGAACCAGCTTCTGCTGGTATTCAAACAAATTGCCGTAACAACCACAATAGCCGTTTTCAGCTCAGTTTGATATCATTCACGTAAGAATAAAGGTTTTCGTCGTGACGGATTAGAAGAAATAAACCCTGAGATCGAGTTCTGATCAAGGTCTGAGTAGGCTAAACTTGCAGTTTTCGAATGCCTTTACACTCCTTAACGCCACAAAATGGAACATACTCCAAATTCCTAATTGTTTTGCTTCGTGTTTTCTGTACTGGTCCCCAATATTAGCTGTTGAAAATGTACCTTCACTTATCAGCTCTTATCAGCTGTGAAACCTCTTTCTCGAGGTAGTTCCTTATATTTTCTCTCTCGTCTACCCTTCACACAGCGGTGTATTCCGCCTGGATCAGTTCAACATTGCATTCTCTCTCCTACTTACGTCTATCGCTGCTCTCATCTCACCACTGTTAAATGATAGCCAGCCAATTGCTTGCACAATTGTCGCAATAGCCGTGTGTTTCTTCCTGTTGGCTGCATTCTCTTGGAAATTCATCTTCGGATTGAACACACTAATGCTCATGTAAGTTTACAATAAATCTTTGGACTACCCCCCCCCCTGGTGCGTTAAACATTTCAATCGTAAATAGGAAATGAACATTGGAGCAGCGGGTAAGCACATTGGTGCATTTCAAGTGGTGGACCAAGCCGGCCTCACCCACTTGTCAGTACTCATAAAGAACCGGCAAACCGCTCAATAAGATGACGGTTTAACGCAGATAGAACCCTTTCTATTGCATCAAGCAGTTATGAATTTAGTCTTATGGCTAATAATACGTCCCAGATAACAACAAATCCGTGGTGCAAGTTTTATCTCCACTAACAGCACAACGCAGATTTGGGTTGATCTTCCTTTTTATTTTAGTCTCTGGAATTATGTTTTACCCACCTGTCCACAAGCTTGGGAAAAACCATACTGGGAATTCCGTAATATCTCTAGTCCAACTTGCTTGTGAACTGGGAATCAGAAGAAAACAATTCAAACGGAACATTATCGTTTCCAGAATCATATTAGTACTCACCACATTCTAGTCGATTCAGGTCTTAGGATCTAATTAATGTAATGAGCGATAATTGAACTTCATTGGGACGTTGCTTCGATGTGACCTAATGTTTACTGATTTTTCTCCTGCATAGAAACGAACCATACGATACATCTGTCCGTTAGTTTTGGAAAATGGTTCCAAGCTACCAGGAAGCTTATCTGAAACGTCCTTTTGTTGGGACGTGGGACGCTGAAAACCCGCTCCAATATTAGCCTCTAGTTTTATAGTAAACCAAACGTTTTGTTCCTCTGATTAGCACACTTCATCTTTGTGCCAATGACGCCAGACGTTTGCTTTGAAGTGATGAGCATCCACAGCTTCAGTTGCGCACATTTAGGACTGATAACACCTAACCGAATATCGTACTTAATCATACATGTTTCGATGACTGTGGGATGATACTGTCAGTTTGCCCATTATCTAACTTATGCCAACTGTTTGCAAAACACTGATTTTCATTAGCGAATTCTACCCTCTCAGAACAGCAGTATGGATTCCTTAGGAGGGCAACTCGCTGCAAAACCCCAAGGCACATAAGTGATTGCCAATTTACGACTTTCTTATTGAAACATAGTGAATGTGACACATGTTAGTCTAAATACGAGGAGAATTAGTTGAAAAACGTGGGTATTTATGAGGTCTGGTGCCAGTAGCCCAGTGCAATGTTCTACGGTACGATCGTTTTACAAAATTTGAAGAACTGTTAACGTAAAAGCCACCGCAAGCCACCGTCCCTCGATTTTCGCAAACTTCCCAGGTGATTGGTGTTGATCGACCAGGGGAACTGCACAATACTCATACAGGAATGCTCAACTGGTTGATATCATGACCCTCCTGTTTTCTTCCGGTCACTTTGAAAACTACGAAATCTCTCCACTGGTTTTACACATGGCCTCCGAAGAATTCCACCACTTTTTACCCCAAACGGGTGTTTTCGAAATTAGTTCATATCCCTGAAGAGTTGCTTTGTGTTCCGCGGAGGCCTAAAGTTTGAAGTAATTGCAGTTACTGATTTCTTCATTCAGGTTCGGAAAACTGTTATCAAGGAGCGCATTACAAAACATCTGACGTCTGGCTCTGGATGCACTCTGTCATCATATAGCGTAGAATGGCCACCTGTACTTCGCTGTAGGCACACAGGCAGTTTCGTTGAACAAGTTGTATTATCATTCACTTTACAACCCTGCCAATTCAGTAGTTTAAAGTCTGTTATGTGATAACGACTTGCCAGATTGCAACTCTCCTGTCTTAGTCTCAGTAATACCAAGTAAACCTGAACTGGCGACATCTTATTTGCATAACGACTTCTGTGTTACATTGAATCTTTGTTTACCACCAATCGTCTAGTGGACACTTATTGGACTGAAGGCTTGCGCCCGTTTGTAGGGCACAACAACAAGTGCGATAAATAGTGTGTGTTACATATCCTTTCGTCTTAACTCAGCACAATGCAACTTTGGGTGTGTGGCAGTTTTCATAAAACCCGTTTATCCCGTATGACTTACAAGAACTAGTAGAATATGAGCATAGCTCTATTTTGAGTTCAATTTCAGCCCTTCTGGACCTCCAGTCACCTCATTCCATTTTCCACTGCTTCACATGCCTGTGGTCTTTTCAGCGTCGCACCTCATTCTCGCTACCATGAGTTGATCTCGAGGCATCAAAATTGCATCCCACTCGTATGGATTGGATATTTGATTCCAGCGGTCATTGTGGGTGCCTGGTTTGGATACGCGGGTGCTGTCAGCTCAAATCTTGGGTGAGTGTTACATTCTTTTGCTGTTGGTCCGGGGCATGATAGTCGTTTTTGCCTTCTTGTGCCCCTCCGCAACGATGAATGACGCTGCCCCATCCCAAAGTGATTGTTGTTTATGCAAGCACAAGTGCGTACTGTGACAACAAGAAACCTTTCAGTCAGTTTGCTTCTAACGGGTGAAAGATCAACACAGTGTGTTTATCTTTGCCGCTCGAAGAGTCCACCACGGGATGAAGTGATGAACGGTTAGATGATGCACGTAAGAGGCGGAAATAACCAGCAACGTACAAAGCCTAAAAGTTATCACATAGTGTCATGTGTTCATGTCTTATCTAAGCCAAATAGAAGATGCATAGCCCGACAGACTGTTGGCATCCGTTGCAATGCATCTGACCACACTGTTCACACATTGGTGTTCTGTGCATGTAGCCTATCCGTTCCCCATCAGTTGAGTGTTGACCCTGCTAGCCAGTGAAGCATTGATACCTGTTGTCGAGAACGTTCAGCACTCATGTCTACTCTGCCCATGACTGCCTACCTTTTAACTGTGTTGTCTATATTTGAGCTGGAATGCATTTGAGAGTAAGATCTACATAATGAGTTTGGGGATTTTGGCGGAAACTGAAGATAAATTGATTACCCTCGTGACTTGAAAAACCAGCTAGCAAACGACCACAGTTTTCACAACAAATGATATTAGTTCGAAAACAAAAAAATCATGGTGCTATTTTTCGGGTGTATTCCACTTCTGAATTGGATTTCCAAGCACTCGTATTATGATAAACGCGTATTTGACTTACTGCTTCTGAGTGGTTTTCACATTATTTGGATTGCTCTGTTTGGTTCGGCGAAAAGTTGAGCGCAAACGATCTTCTGTGTCATGCAGGTTGCACACACAGTTGTACAGTGCAAAGTAAGTTCAGAACCAGTGAATCAATCTGTCTGGTGATATTTCAACGTTAAATTTTCATATAAATGGTAATTCGTGGAGTTTTGGAAGCGTGACTATCACTTTGAGAGACTAAATGTGCAGCTCTAATAATTCGTTTCATCATTTTCATTTCATTCTACAAACAAAAGTTCCTTGTCATCTTTGCTTTTGCCATGGGCTTTTTATAGTACCGATTCTGATAAAACGTCTTTCCGCGACAAAATTTAGCCTTCCTTTTTCATGTAACCATTGAGCAAACTATTTCCGTCGGCATTAGAGCTTGTCTTGCAGCTCACTTGGTGACAGTTGTATTCCGCGGCTAGAAAAACCCGAGAATTTTAGCATCAATGCCTCTGACAGAAACGTGCTGTGTGTGGTCTCAAACACCCTAACTGGTTACATATCCCATAAAAACCAAGGGATTTTTCTGTAGGTAAGACTGACAACGACGGATGCGTCTCCCAAGTAGTATTCAGTAATAACCAGTATCCACCGGCCGACATATTTGTTCTCAATGGGGACAATAAAGCTCCCGTTTGGTCTGTTTCAACCCACCGAGTGGCTTTTATGTGGTAGGTGCACCTAGTTGTAGGTCTTCGTGACCGTAATGTTGAATACTCGTGACATTCACAAAACACTGGCCGCATCATTTCTCTACCTCAACACTTGTTAATCACCTTCGCACTGCCTGATGTTGATGGAGTCGTTCCTCATGTTTCCTCAATCTTTTCTCTTCCTCTGTTCGGATGCGGCCATGGCGGTCTTTATCCTTGCGAACTTCGTCCATGAACACTACTGGTGAAAGAAAAAGTCCTTTGCTACGGATCTATTTATCAGAAAATGCCAACTGGACAGTTACAGACTATTGGACAGGGGAGCAAAACTCTCATATACATCTTGTTTACAAAACTGAATATCCAACTTCTCCTTGAACGCATCTTCCTGAACTTTCCTTGACTGTTACGCAGTTGCAAGCAAATGCTACAGAGTGAATCCGCAAACTCCGTAATAGATCTCACTTTTCAAGAGACGCAAACGGATTTACGAGAAAACATAGTACTCGCATGCCACTCCCATCAGTAGTATCACCGTTACACTGGTATTATGTTGAAGTTAATGAAATGAACTTATATACAAGCTTTGGTAAGAAATAAGGAAAAAGATTGTCGAGTTAGCTTCACGAAAGTTCCTCTTTGGCGATTCTAATTGTGGCATTGAAGCAAGAAATGCTCAGCTAACAAGTGACGTAAGTGATTTTCCAGCCTATTTATTTTAGTTTATCGTCTTCAACTTACTAAATATAAGCTCGTTACAGCAGAACAGATATGACCAGCATTGGGATGTGCGTAAAATGTATGAACTCATGGGATTTTCCTCCGGAATGATTCATTACCTTTGTCGGACCCCCCGAATTGAGCATAGACCGAAAATCGATTGGCCTAAACCTTCTAATCGTATTACTGATTGGACAAACTTACATTTGTGTTCCACAGAATAAACACGAATGGATAGTATGGCTCTTCATGACTCTGTCCCTATCGTAAAGAAACCTGTTGAGTGCTTGGTTGCAATTGTCCAAAAAAAAGTTACAACTAATCGAGCGCTATTTGAAACACTTTGAAGAAAACCAAAAGACAGTCCTATGGATTCATATCATTCAATGCTCCGAAACTAAACCGAATGAAGCTGGTAGTAAGAGCGACTGCGATATTTGACCGATTCTGTGATTGTCTTGAAACACAAATGTGAATCTGGTGCTCTTTTTCGAGTTCAGACGGTAAAACAAATGTTTAAATGAACTAGACTAGATGGAGTAGAAACTCTTTGAGTTTATGGCGCAGGGACTAAACCCAAGATCTGTTTTAGCCTGCCTAATCATCGGATATGTATCAAGTGCCAAGTGCTTAGCTACAAAGGTGAGGCAATACGGTTTCTCAATTTCTAGCGCTGTAGACCAGCTGTGGATATATGTTAACTGGCTCTTGAAATTGTGCGCAAAGAGCATTTGCTCCACTCTTAACCTAGCGTTGTTGTCTCACATGTGACAACAACAAATAACAAGTAATATCTCCTACACAATTCAGACAGTTCATTATGTTTGTTGTATGACCTTTGGGCTGACCAACGCGGACAGCTCCCTACTTTCTATATCTATTTTACCGTGATTGGTTCACTTTGGTTGTTTTTGTTTATCGCGTATTCCGCTGCGATCTCCTACTAAACGAATGCAAGCCGCACAGTTTATCTGAATGTGAAAAGATTCGGTAATATTCTGCAGAGGTTTCATCCTACCAATCAGGCCATTCTATGCTGAAAAGCCGAGAAGCAACGTACAGCTGCTTCATCCTTGATGGAAATCATCAGCAGTGCGCAACCCGCGCCACCATCCGATCAATGGTTAAACACTTCACCGTACGGCCACTGGCGGCTAATTAGCATCTTGTTCAACTCGCACTTAGACAGGATATAACACCACTCATTTTCAAGCACGATATCCACATCATTAAGTCAAACCCTTGATGGAATCATCAGCAGTGCGCAACCAGCGCCACCATCCGATCAATGGTTAAACACTTCACCGTACGGCCACTGGCGGCTAATTAGCATCTTGTTCAACTCGCACTTAGACAGGATATAACACCACTCATTTTCAAGCACGATATCCACATCATTAAGTCAAACCTGTTGACTGGCTCCTCAGATGACAACTACTCAGATAGACGTTTCACTTATGTTATGAATTTATTCTCCTTCTGAGCTACACCAGGTAACCTGAATAGCTAATTTCACAACGTAGCTTGAACATGAATGGTTATCCCCTTGTAATCCTCACAGCAGTAAACATCGAAGTATCATTAAATCATGGATGGGAGAGAGTGCAACATAAACTGATGAACTGTGTGTAGATAGTTGTCATACTGGTCATCGTTCTAAATCTCCGTAGGTGTTCTTCTAAGGACTAATGGTGTGCAGCGCTTTCCCGGACAACCGCGGCCATGAATGCAGCTGTCATCCTAACAACAGGGATGCCTTCGTTAAAGAAGCAGCTGGAACACGGTTTTGTAGGCCAAAGGCCACTAGGAGTGCAATCAGCGAAGAATTCAATTCAGTTTGCTGTTATGAGCAGAACGGATTTGATTTATTTAAGGTGTATTTGTTTTTGGATTTAAAGATAATTTATTATGCTCAATAAAAGCACACGATCACCATTTGAATACCCTTTTGATAAGTCCATCGAAATGTTTGTCCGTACCTTTCTACCGTGAACAAGTCGTTTCTTCAACACTGCAAAGTAGTTTTATCTAGCTACGAGTGTTTTACAACCCTGTGTGTATTGTTTAATTAAACCAAATGTTTGTCTAAACTTAACTTCAACGTCCTCTTCTTCTCCAGTTGTTTCGGTCCTTCCATCGCTCGATGGGTCCTTGTCGGATTCATCACAATCGTCGTGATTTTCAACTTTTTCGTTCTTTTGATTGTCGGTGTGGTTCTATTACGAAGCTATCTACTCACTCGCAAAAGCCGAATAAATAAAAGCACGTAAGTGGTTGGATGACTGATAGTGTGAATATACTATACTGAGTATACCCATCGGTCATTTGGATTACGTTTTCTTCTATTCCAACGACCAGTCACAAACATACCTTTCTGGACTGTGAACAGAACAATAGTCCCAGGTTTGTCATGGAACCCAGCGGAAGAACAGGTGGCTTAGGTTGTGAGCTTTCAAACGGTTTTAACGATGCACCGTTTTCTGCAGTCACAAAGGAGAAAGCCGCGCGCTCTGGTTTTGTTCTGTGCAAAAGGATTATCGCGTCAACACTAATTACGTCTCCAATTCAATGGATATCCATCAAGACGTGTCAAGGAGATATAGTCTGGTGAATCCGCAGTAAAGAAAAATGGAAAGACCACGTAGTTGCCCATTCGAGAATAAAAGGCCAAAACTACTTACTGGACAAAACTTGAGGAGAAGAGTATGAGAGACAGCCAGACCAGAGCTCAAGGGTCATGCGGTCATCGATCAATGAGAACTGGCCTTTTCCAAATATTCGTTCTTTCCTGAAGGGAACTGAACCGTTTGAACAGTTGCCGTTTTTCTGGGCTGTTCAGAGTTCGGAGTAATTTCAAGTGACCGTTTACTTGCACTGTATTGTAACGTCTCATCTGTGGAGAGCCCAAGTGAAAAGATGGATTATTAAATGTGTGTTCCTAGGACGGATTTCATCATTACAATGTGTTCAAAGCGGTCTCCTTGACTAAATCACATTTTCTCAGTCCTTGAGAAGCTTTAGTCACAAGCGATGATTGAATACCCAAGGGAACGACTGAATATTTTCTCTCCTAAGGGTTGTTCTCAATAGTACCGGCTGGCCTTATTACCAGTGAGTTGTTTATTATGGAATGCGGGTAAGAAGTCATAGGTGTTGGTAGAATATCATCATGGGCAGGACACTATGGTGTCGTCCGAATAGTGGTGTGTTGCTGGGCACTCTCCAACTGAGGTGCTGTGTGCGGTAGTGACGTTTGGTTCCATAGTCTTAAGTAATAGCCATTCGAATGTGACTCCGTTTGGTTGACGCACTGTGTTCAAAACTTTCAACACCGTGTTTAGTAGAAGTGTATGTCTAGAAGAGCCTGTTGGTGACGAGGCATGCAAGCTCAAATTTGTATTCTCGTATGCAGTTTCCAATAAAACGATACACTAAACCTGTTGCCTCAAATGAGCCTGTGTTAAAAGGCTGGAGGAAAGTTACCGTCAAAATTAGTGCATAGTAGAAGGTCGTATGTAATTAGGGCAGGGACACATCTGGTCCAGTCAACTACAGATTAACATAATCAACTATTCGCACTAGACAGGAATTGCTTTCCGGCAGACAACGGTTTTTTATTGTCTGTAGTGAGATATACGCAAATCACACAGACATTTATTGGCTTGTAGAATTGTCAGCATCAATATTTGGAGATGTCTTATCAACTGTGCGACTGAGAGCAAAACACCTGGAAGGTGATGTACGGTAAACCGGCCATATTGTTATTGATTTGTACCAGTGTTATTTTTATCCACATTGAAGATTTTGGGGGTTACGTAAGACGGCGAACAACCTCTACGAGGTTCGCAGTATCTGTCGCCTGAGATTTGCTGGAGATGGTTCACTAAACAAAAGATGTTAGACCAACTCAGCTACACATCTTCCGCCCGACTTTTTCTTCATCTACTAAACTGCACTAAACTTTTGTCCAAGGGTGGTGGCATTGACCTCCTGGCAGACTCGCCACGAGCTGCTCCCGTACAGTCTCCGCTCACCCCAGTTGGACTAGTCTAGATTGAATTGATATTTATAGAATGACAGGATTTACTTTGTGTGTGTTTTAGTAACCACTTCGGACGGATGTTTTGGGCGTGGATATAAAACAGAGTATAAAAACACAAGACCAACATGAACATAAAAATGGACAACGTAGTGTGTGTTCCGGTTGTCAGAAAAATTTTAGTTTCCTACTGAAATGAATTAGGAAAGTAAAACGTTTTCCACAAAGTGACACACTACATCTATACTACAGGAGTACTTGGTTGTCCATAGATGAAGGAAATACGTAAGTTGTTAGAGTAGGGAATTTTAGTGGGATATTAGTGAAACACGCCTGTCCTGGGTTGCGCCCTATTTTCCGTATGAACAAGCTATTCTCTGGTAGATTTTTGGATTTCTTTTGCCGCCTTATTTCCCCAGTTTTATTATGAATGATCGTTCCACGTGATTAGCGTACAAACTCTAATCACTGCGTTATCCGGCTTCATGATATTCGGAGTCGAAACTTAATATCATCCGTATTGGTTGAGGCAACGTGGCTCAGAAATAGCCAGCCTCTCAAAACAACCACTGTGTAGGCTCCTTAGAAGCATACTGCAGAAACAACATTCACTTATGTTTATACGCACTCATTCTGTGAATTCAGACGCCCCACATTCCGTAGCCTCCAATGTCAGATTTTTTTTTGCTGTCTTCGACAAGAATGTAACGGAACCAGATAGCGTACTGACCATATGCGGGGGAATTATGCTCAGTTTCCCTTCTCAAGTTTAACAACTTTTTGCAAACAAACTTGAGGAATGTTTTCCTTGTTGGTATCAGACCAGAGTTCGCAATGTTCGACTGCCCATCTCGGAAGCCTCAAAGAAATTTTTCTCACAGCCATTCGGCAATTCAGTTTTCTCCTCTTCTGAATTGCCACTTGATTTAGTTTTGCGAAGAGGCATCTGGTCTCTTTGACCTGAATATCTACCTCTTCTGGAACACCGTGGAGTGATCCACTGCATTTTCCAGCTTTCGTTGAATTTCAGCGGACCAGCTGGGCTACTGCTTGTTCCAGTTCAACACGATGAATTTTATAAGTTGAGCCTCACGAAGTTTTCCAGTCCTCTTCCATCTCGGACATTTACATAGGCAACGGTATAACTCTTCTCATTTTCCGAAGTACCGAGTAGTCATATCTGATGGTTTCATAAGCCCTGGAAGGTTTTACTGTCCATGGGTCTGGAAAAGGCATATGCCTTGATGAACGTCAGCCGCGGATCTGGAAACAAAGCCTGGCTGACAAACGAAACTTCACTACGGGTGCCTTGGTTTCAGGAAAAGGCCCACTTTCTTCTCAAGAACACAACACCATCCATATTGCCGATCGGACTGTGTGAATCCGGTTTTGTTGCTGTCCTCCGACTAAGTTCTGTCAGCCGTTTCAGTCTGTCTTGAGTACATAGCCGGATAATTATCAAACGGCGGTTTTGTAACAAAGACTAACAGGATGTCTGGGCGTCTGTACTATTTGTAGCCCCCCCATAAACGGAGGTTATTATATTCCGTATTTCTACAACCACGCTCACATTCCATCGACCACTGTTTATGGCAGTTATTCCGGCTGTTTTACTCGATTACAAGACAGTAGTGTGAGTCCCAAGGTATGGATGGGGGATCAATGTTATGCAAATACTTTTTTCATTGGTATTCACCAGCCAAATTGGGTTCCTCTCTCGAGGCCACTAGATTCACTGCATCGGGCTTGCTTAACTTACCTCTAGACTTATTGTGTGAACTCACCAGAGAATTCTTGCTAAAACCGCTCAGATGAGATAATGAGCATAGGGTTCTCATGAAATTCCAATGAGTAACCTACCGACGAATATATACTCCTAACAATTCAGTTGAGTCTCCCTTGAAAACCAAAGTGATTTTCAAATGAGTGTATTTCTCGAAAACAGTACAATTCGAGTTCAAGTAGATCATAAGGTTGACGGAAACTCGGGAACTGCGCCTACCTGATGAGTCCCAAGAAGGGCGAATCCGGTCGTGGGCTGTCGAAGAGTTTTCAGGAAACTTGTGAGTAGTTTCCTTTATGAAAATACTCCTAAAAATGTTTGTTTTTCTGCCAGTAACCCTTCGTTTTTTGGATGTAAGCATTGTGTTTTGTTTCCTTTCCATTGTTCTTTTGACAGACATTTCCTCGTCCTCACACAACTCATGCTCACACTGGGCCTACCATACACCATAATCTACATGCAATTTGTGGATCATCAAGCCATGCTGTTTACTGTCCCGATCGCTCTTGGAACAACTGCTGTGCTCATGTTCCTTTTGGTTGCCGTAATCGACGAGGTAACTTCCAGTGATTTCATTACATCCCATCCATTTGTTTTGACCGATTTCATTTTGTAACATACTTAAAACTGCGTTTGCTTTCATTAGGATGTGACACGGGATTTGGAGTTGACGGCTTAAAAGTTCACAAATTCGGGTGTTACATGGTGCAAGCCTGTTGGCTGGCAAATATGAGTGTCAGATACATGGCCCCACTTGTCCTATTACAACGGGTCCACACTGGACCAATCCATAAATTTTCAGATTACTCGAGAGATCGTTTCGTGGGAAGTGATTGGGGCGGACGGCAGCTAGAAGCACATGAGCCCCAATAGTCTGCGATAATGATCTCAGATTCGTTCAGTCCAAAGGATTCTTTTACTTACGCTTGCGTGTTGCATTCAAACAGGTGGACTAGGAGAGCAGTAGTAACGCGTTTGGCCGATCAACCGAAAACGGAAAAGAGATGCCCTATTTTTCATTCGTTATAGCTAGCCCCACAAGATCGATCAAAATTCTACGCATAATTAAGCATTGTTCGGCATTCTACAATCTAGTTGGCAAATTAAAACTCGTCCAGGAGTAAAACGGAAGCGAAGTAGGTGGTATTATCAGTCTTATAAAAAAGGTGTGTGATGACCTTAGCGCCTGTGTCCTGTTTGGGTGGCGAAGTGGAAGAATGCAGGTCGCTCAGCAGAATGATTATTTTCCCTGAATGGTACTAGCCTTTCCCAGATACTTTTATGATTAGTGTCCTTCTGAAGTTATTCGCTTAAACTAACTTTTACGTGGACATCTAGAAAAGCTAGCTTTCATTCTAGATCTGTCCTTAATAAAAATACTTTGTTTGATTGGTAGTCATAAGTCCTATAAAGTGCATCGTTTAAGGTGAGATGTTAGACATTGATTCCTAGATAAACCAATGCCGCCACTTGCGTCGATTGCCGAAATTAGTTCAAAGCCAAAAAAGATTAGTTCCTGTTCGCACTCGTGTAGGCGTATCTGTTATGCCGTCGGATTATCAAACTCAATAAAGCCTACCCGATTCATTAGCATCTTGACGTTTTCCTGCGCTTCGGCTATCGGGATAATATGTTTGTGTTCATCCGAATGACAACGCCTACTTGATAATCCGTCTTAATTAGGAATTATCAATTTCGGTTGGAGCCTATAATTGGACTTTATCAAACAGACTAAACCAGCATAATATCTTGAGTAGAATTATCCATCTCAAATTTACCAGTAAAATTCAATTGTATGCGGACTAGGTCGCACTAATTCAACGAATATATCTTCTGAAAACAACATATAAAATGTCTTGTGGTTCACTGTTCCTGACGCTACTGTAAGTGGTAGCCGCCAACAGCCAAGAATTACTTACCTGCTGCTTCACATCATCCGTTTAGGCGTGCTTAACAGATAGCACTCGCCTTTGGGGTCTGAAAAAAATATTATTCCTCATAACATGTTCTTCTGAACACTTGACTGGCTTACTAGTAACGTGATGGTATTTCTAGACCAAGTGAACTATTGAAAAGCCCCGGACGTCCACTTGGAAGATTAGGGCCAATCATCGTTGACTTAACGCCCTATTTTACATCTTTTGATTTGCTGTGTTACATAAATGCCATTGGATCCAAGTTTGTACGGAAATGCCAATAGTCAAACTCACTATATTCACTGGAGGTTAAAGGTTGGGTAAACTTGACCGTTAAATATGCTATCATGCCATAAATGAACAAAAATTAGTTGCTGCAAGTTAAAATAAGTGGTAATATTTTCGTGAAATCTCCAGGTTTCTGAGAAGGGTAGACCCCACTGGTGAATATTGATGTCGAAATAGCCATAATGTTCCTTTTGCGCGATTCCACTTTGCCCATCAATTAATTGCACAACTGTAACAAAAAGCTATCCCATTCGGGGAAGGTTTCTGTTTTAAGGAAACACGTTGGGGTGACTCTCTACATTGGTCAATCACCGAGGATCAATCTAGACTTCCCTCATTCACCTGATGTAACTGCTACTGATTATCACGAACCCAAGTTCCATACACCTCTCCCACAACAAACTCACGCGTGCCACACAGACAGCCAAAGGTTTTGGATCATTGCGTCGCAGGGTGTTCTTATTAAGACTTGTATACAACTCTTTCGTTTCTATATACATATCGTCTTTTCCGGTAAAAGTAAGTAAATTTGTCAGGCTGTTAAAACCTCTTCAATTCCAACAACTCTTCCTCCCTAACAGGAAAACCGTCATCGTTTGGAGTCGTTCTTACGAGCTCACTTTACGCGGACGACGAGTGTTCCAGGGAATCATACTACCACTGCTGGCCAGGTTAATCGTAGAGGAAGTACACCCAAGACAGATAGTCAGCACACTCGAAAACGGCTAGGTTCGAAACAGTGGAGCTACCGGGAGAAAAACTATACGGCCGGGGGCAACGGGGAGGCTGCGCAGAATCTCAAGTCTAACAAATACGGTAGGCTACACTTTTATCTTCTCCCTTTATTGATAGTGACGAATGTAACTTGTTTTCACTGAGATCCGCCTCGACAACACACTCTTTAGAATTTATCTGTTATTCATATTCCATAAATCTTGTACTGCGCGGTGTTTCATAATTTTTCACGGCATTGATCTTTGGTAGGCTAGATCATATATGCTTCACGGCTGGTTGAGTAGCTCTTAGATCTGAGATCAAGCCCTCATACCATGCTCGCTCGGTGTTCGAGTATAGACTGAATGTCAATCCTAATCTAAACTACAGCATTTTTTCCCAGTTCTTATACTAAGGCATACAAAGGCCTTCCAGCTGTTAGTGGTTTATTTTGGTTTGTACCGCTTTTAGTTTCGAGAAAGCGTGTAGTCCATTGCTTGTTTGAAACGTCTCTTCTTCCCAAACCTTGTACTTTACACACCTTTTTCCTTTTTTTAGCACACTCTGAAACTACCAATTCAGATTTGAAATTTGAACCTGGTTGGTTGCATCGTTTTCCGGCGACAGCCCAACTACCTGAGGGTGATTCCGTGGTAGTCAGCGAGGATTCTTTGAACACAGTAGCGTTCAACCGGATGGCACAGACGACCGCTCCAAGGACAAGTGGAGAATCTTACCGTTCAGGAACGCATGCGTCGCCGGTTACGTCCGAAACGAACATTGACGATGCCTGTTTCAGTCCAGACACCACAAATTCCCGCGGACCGCTGACGTTCAACGGCAACAATGGCGTGATTAATGGCCAAACAATGAGGCGATTATGAGCTGTTTCACCCAAAATATTAAATGAGCTACCGAGCAACCTAAACAGCAAAACATTGCCTGGTGTAGTGCACAAGGGTATTCTACCAGTAAACTCCCACTAGAACTGTACGGTTGGGGACTGTCAGATATTTTATTCGCATCCGCCATGGAATACTGCTATTATTTTGAGCCATTCTTCTCGCCTTTCAGTTCGCCTCCCATAATCAAGCGAAGATTTTTGTCATTAGTTGCGAGAATTTGACTGCAATCCAAATTCACAATCATGCTTAGTAGTCACCCAAAGAAATGCACAATATTTGAGGCATTTTGCTGCTTTTTGTACAAAGAATTTTATTTACAATACAATTTCCTCATGTTGACTTTCCTTTGAGATGAAACAGCAAAAATCTGTGCGCTTCGGCACCATCACTGAGTGTGGGGAATTTTTATAAATACTCGTATACAGCTGGATGAGGTGCGAATTTTTTCATGAATCCTTCATCCCTCTGCTTTCTGATGTTAATCTTTCCGTAGTTTGGATACTGAAGACCCTTCTGGATACATTGTGCAACGACATTGCGGCAAGTACTCCAATCTCACCCCCATAATATTCTTGTTCTCGTGTTTCTTGCTAATGACCATGACATTTAAAGAATGAAATGTGGCTTCAGCGCTAAAGTCAATGCTAATCTAACAAAAAAACGAACGGACAAACTCGGAAACACGAGATGCAAAGAGACAAATCGAGTAGCGGTCGTGCAAGTAAAACGACCGATAAAGTGATGCCCATAGGTACCCCTTGATCGTCACAGTCAGCATGTTACAACTCGGGCGATTTCTTCTAAGCTGATGCTGCTCGCTTAGATACGAAATAACAAAGGAACCCAAGCATGCCATGACACATCTGGTTTAAATCACTTCGTGTAAGTAAATGTGAATGCACGATTGGTGCTTCAGCTATCAAGAAAGCATTCTAAAACCGTTCTTTGAGCTGAATTGATTTTAGTCAGATACGCAGCTTTGTTGTGTACACAATGTCATGTGGGGCATTTGAAAAAGATGAGGAGTTAAGTGCCTTTCTGGCAAAGTTCTCCAGGTTTACGGAATTATTGTCAACATCCAAACCAAAAAGTTTATATCAAAAACAGTCTCCTGATATGCCTACTAAAAATTTCAAAATCGTTCAGCTGTAACACCCTTTCGGTGCCTAGCTGTCATGCCACCCGGAGGAAGCACGAGGACTGGGTTGCCCAAGCCTAGACAGGGGAAGTCGAGAGGCAGAGGTCGGGTTCGAACGACGTACCTTCCGGTCAGTAAATTCGCGCATTAACCACTTGAGCCATCTCTCCCACATCAATTTTCATAGCTTTAACCACGAGTCCATTTCTGCATCCATATGAGTAGAACAACAAATCTCAGGATTCTTTTTTAGTTGCATTCGCCAACCAAAAAAGTAAACAAGAAGTTAGTTAATATACAGTCATTTTCAAGGAGACGACAGTTCGCAGAGGGTAAAGTAACTATATATATAACCTTCAGAGGGAAGCCGGGTAGGTTAGAATTAGGGTAGACTCAGCGTTCTTCTCAGCCGTTTCTGCACACACCTGGTGGACGCATATAAGTCTGTCGCCACTTCTCCATAAGAAGCGGGTCAATAGCAGCCCTTTTGCCGCCGATGCTGAGTTTCTATATCTTGTTTTATTTCCATTTCTTATTCTGCACAGTATACTTCCAGTGATTTATTCTACCAGTCGCTCTGAGAGATTCCGGTCGTCCATGCCACTGTCACAAAAGACTGGAAACAGTTGTCCATCTCCGACAAGCTGGTTAGTACCCATCATACATCCGCCACACAATGAGCACCCGGGTATCTCACTCACTTTTTTGGACCATCATCTGGGGACGAACTCACTTGAGCCAGTCCCTCCCTTGACTTTGTATAAGAAATTAGATCACTTGATCACGTGACTGGATTGTCAGATCGTGAATGTTTCTCACAGAGGCTAAAAACGATGGCAGGGTAACTGGATCCGCGTACGGTGCTAAGTTATCTCCAGGAAAAATGCTGGTGCCCGAATATCGAAACTCAATAAAATAATTAAAATACCTATCATAATACCTGACTTAGTTGAAGTAGTCTTCTGAAAGAGCCGCTGAGTGCGCTCCCTGATTTGGTAGTTTTACAGATATCCGTGAACACTACAAAACTTCCCCGACCAAACATCTTACAGATTGGCCAAGTCCGATGTGCATGGTGACGGCTAATTCAATTGACGAGTAGGATTTTCTAACGGATGAACCGTGTTGATCTGACTGAAATTAATACAATGCTTGGAAGTCTGTGGAGGTGGATAAGTCGCGAGCGGATTGAGAGGACGCGCCCCGATTTCTCATAGTGAGGCTGCGTTGTGGTCAACGGGCTGGCTGGGAAGTTGGAAGAATGGATCCACTAGTGTCAAAACGTCCACAGTTTTGCATCACACAAACTTAGTTGCACTGCTCTAGACCCGTTATCTGTACGAGATTCGGTTCACAACGCCGCTGGAAGTCCAGAAGTCACTGCGGCAAGAATCCGGAGTGGGACTTACGAGTAAAGACAAGATTTGGATGAGTAAACGCTGTCAGAGAACAAAGCCATGGATCCTATACTCCCATAGATCCGGTGAACATAACAGGTGAATAGTACATGTTCCTTAGTCCCTTTAGCGTCTTCCTCTTCGCCCTGAGAAGCTGTTGTCTTTATTCATAAAAAAACAATGATGGTCACTTTTCCGTAAGATTGGAACACAAACAAATATTAGACTCCCACTAGAGCTTAGCCGTTGAAGTCACGTTCACTCTGTTCCGCCCCTTATTACATCAAACTTCAATGTATTGTTGAAGATTTTCCTTTGGTGTCTCAATTCAAGTCTTTTGACGTCAACCTCACTCTTCTGAGAAGCTTCGTTAGTGTAGAGATGAGACTGCCTTCCAGCCTTGTCTGTTTAACTGCATTGCTGGTGACGCAACTACTTCAACGCAAATCATTAAGTTTGTCTTTATGCAGTGGAATTCAAGGCCAAAAAAAGTCCAGTGCACACAGGGGACCAGCTTACACCCTAGCCCATCAGCTGAGTCAAAAACGTATGATTTCAAACAGACATTGGAAAATTTATTCTTTACCTGGTTCGAGGTGGCATTATCAACGAGTATGATAAGTCGTATGCTCTGTTTACATACAGAAATGATCTCTGGAAAAGAGCTAACATCCAAACACTTTGTGAACGCCTATGTGTGCAGTCAAAATGTATTAAATGAACGCTTCTGGGAATTTTCATCTACAAGAGGTGCCATTTTGCCCCTCCCAACAGAGTAGAATGCTTAGTCGATCTTTTGCACTTGATGTTCACAGGCTGCTTCACGTTCTCTTTCAGGGTGTAAAATATGAGCATAACATAGGAACATGGTTTAATCGACATCAGCACATGCTCTTTGTTACAGGTGGCTGAAGACATTTCTGAAAAATTCATCATCCTTTTGTGGTTTCACGCTACTTCGTTCCATTATGCTCCATAATGGATGCGAACAGTAAATACGAGTTGATTGTAGATGTTCGGGCCGCAACTTCCATTGTAATCATCAGAACCATTATTTCCATCCCTTGGATGTAATGCCAGCGAAAAATTTCTTGCAAAAGAATGTTCTCTGTTGACGCAATCTAACCATGTACCTCCCTCGTTCTTTAAAACCGTCTAAATGTAGCCTAGTTGATACCCACCAACTTCTCATCAAATTCGATGTAGAATATGCCTGCATATGTGCTTAGTCCTTTGGGCAAATTAAAATAAACCAATCTGCGAACGTCATGTCGAATCAAGGTGGCTAGAGCGAGATTGTTCCAGCGTCCTTTTCGAACCATTACCGTTATAATTCGCATACAAAATGACAGGTGCACTTCGGCTGAGCAATCCAGCTGTGACCAGAAATGTGGGAATAGAATGCGGCCGTCTAAGCCCCGGCATGTTTTACCTGATTCCCTTGCATTCCCCCCTCCTTCGACTGGTCAGTCAAACCATCCTGCTCACTTTTGAACGAAATTGGTATCTCAGAGTGTCGTCGTTAGTTTGCTCGCGTAGTCACGCAATTTAATTGAAAAACTCTTCACTATCAGTCGATTTGACTTCACCAGTGTGTTAGGAGTGGAAGTGCGTTAGGGCTGGAAGCGCTTGTGCATGTACTGGGTTCACTCACCCAGATCAACCGTGGCCGAAGACAGACCAAAGGTCAGCCAAAAGCTAATAACACTGCTCACCCAAAAGACAAGTTCGATCAAAGTGGACCTAGGTGACTAGACTCAGTGACGTGCAACTCCGACGCACTTCCAACCTCGACGCACTTCCATTCACAAGGCAATGATGACATTAGCTCGGCTGGCGATGAAACATCTGCAGCCAACCAGCCCACCTCAGCGGACAAAGCAATGGCCACCCTATCTACTGCGGGGAAAACACCTGAGTTGGTATTCTTGTTGTTACTGTAACCTTTCCAAGCCTTGTTAATTTGAATGACTCCTAATTTTCTCCATGCTGGTTTTGTATACACCTTTTGCGTGGTTACCAGTCGCCGGCACCACTCATCGCTCCCGACTTAATGTGAAGCACACCGGTAATGTTAGATACCACAGTAAGATGCAGCCGTTCATCTGTCTGATCAGAATTCCAAATGGAAGGACTGACAACAACGCAGTGCGTTCAGATCCCGAACTCAGTCTGGCTGCTCTTCCGAACAAGAACTCATCGCAATTTGCCTGCAAGCTACACCCTACGTATATCCAGCTCCGAAGCCACACCTACAACGGCACATGTGCTTAAGAGGGCAATCACATATGCGGCTGTCTACTACCTGGTCGGAACTGTATAACTTGTGGGCTCGGTTTTGGCTGGTTAAAATTTTAACCAGTCCGTATAGTTGCAGCCTGGTCTTTTACTTCAGGTGGATTCGGAATACTGTTGATCGTCTGTGTACCCGCTTATGCACTTGTCCTCGATGCGCAAGCAACTTGAAAGTTGTGTTAATGTGTCAGTGACGTTCGCCAACAAATGAGAATCAACTGGTGTGAAATTTGCAATCAGATTTCAAAGTGGGACAGTGACAAAAGTCACTGAACACTTTGTAGCTGACGAGAATTTGGAAGAGTGCTTGCTCACAAACTGTAGCATTGGGGAAAATTTGTTCCGCCCAATCCCGTTACACGGACCAACCAGCATATTGGATTTATTACGAGTTGGACAGAAACCTAAAAAGCAAAACGATGACGGACAGAAAACCAACGATCTCTTTGTCATACCCTTCTGAAAACAGTTAATTGCTTCTGATCAGGTCTGTTCGATATCAGATGTCTATTCTGAACGTGCTTTCATGATGCACTTTATCTAGAAACGTCTGAAATGTGCAAATATTCACCATTATTGTTCAGTGAATAAGACCGCATTCAGTTTTGAAGTTATCGACACTCAAAGACTATTCGGTTCATCCAGCTTCCATTGGCTCATCCAGACTGAGTTTGCGTTTACTGAAATACATCACTAGAACGTACGGATTTTACGCATCTGTAATCGTAAGCAGATAATCGGAGAAGTTCACCTGAAAACGGACCATCCGGTTCTGTTGACTCGTAACCAAGACTAGGTAAAT